TATAATTAATAAATATAATCACATTAACAGTATAAACCTGCTGACGGAGAAACGGGGAAGCAGCGGCGGCAGCGACGAGCGACGACAGCAGCAGTGGCGACAGCGGCAGCGGGAAAGGGAGCGGGAGCTGCGAGCAGCGGGAGGGCTCGCGGGAGGAGCGAGCAGCGACAGCGGCGAGTAGTGGCAACGGGAGCAGGTGCGACGAGCAGCGGGAGGCGCGAGCAGCGACAACGGGAGCAGGAGCGACGAGCAACAGGAGGCGCGAGTGGCGACAAAGGCAGCGTTTGCGAGCAGCGACAGTGGCGAGTGGCGACAACGGCAACGTTTGCAAGCAGCGACAGCGGCGAGCAACGAGATCGGGATCGGGATCGGGAGCGGCAGCGGGTTAGGGTTGGGTAAGGGTTATATCGGTTTAGTTGGTTCGATTGAACCAACTAATAATCGAACCAGGACCGAACCAGACCTAAAATCCTGGTTCGGTCGCCTTGGTTTACCCAGGCGCTCGCCCGAAGCGCCCAGGCGGCGCCTGTTTGAAGCGCGCCGCCTGGGAGATTAGCGAGGCGCTCGGGCCTCGCCTCGCCTCGCCCGAGCGCCTTTTTCAATCACTGGTTTCGATCGGCAAAAAGGCAGGATGGGTTTGACATATGGGTTTGACATTTCAACCAAAATAATTTGATCTCCATGAATCTGTGATTCAATTTCAGGTTCAGCACCTGATCGTGAACGTAATTAAAACTCGTCATCCTCGAGTGTTGTTGGCAATAACCTGATTTATTCTGTTATGTTTCATCCACTTTAGGATCAGAACAATAAATGCTTGCTGTGTTCTCTTTCTGAAGGAAGAATGACAATTGTTCTAAATATATTCAAGTGATTGGTGACCTAAGAATTTTCTTTTGATAGAATCCTCTAAGGTAGGATTTGACCATAGAGTTCACATTAAGAGAGTTCATATTGTCATTAAGAGAACCCTAAAGGTGGTTTTTGAGGAAAACCCTAACCATGTTTTCGTTTTCTTTTTTCTTCTTTTAAAACAGATAAAAAATCTTAATTGTTAACACAAATATCAAAAAATAAGAAAACATCAAAATAATATTATGCTATAAAAATAATATTATCCATCAAAATAATAGTGAATGTTAGAACAAACTCTGTGGAAGTACAGAATTAGTCTGAACATATTCTGAACTAACACAGAATATTTCCGATTCCAAGCAATGGTTGACAGATATTACAAAAACGGATAACAAAAACCTGAACGGTTTCAGGGCATAATACATCGCAACTTATTTAGCAGCAAAGACACAAAGCTACTGGATCCCACTTGACATTCTCTCAACATGATAAAGCTATTTGAAGACTCACCAACCATGCATGATCAATATTTGTAGTCCTTGACATGGAGGCTCTCCGAGACGCCTTCGCCTCCCGCAGCATCACCCTTGTATGTCCCAAGCGTTGCCTCCGAGTTCGCCTTGCACCTGGTGAGGAATGCAGTCCTCGCCTTCTCGACATTCTCCACCTTACCTGCCCATGCCTTGAGTGTACTTTGCTGCAGAGCACGGCCGAATGAGAAGGAAAGTGACCATGGCTTCTTCCCCTGCAGCTTGTTCATGGCATTCAGGTTCAAAGTAGCCTCCTCTTCACTCTGCCCTCCTGAGAGGAAGACGATCGCAGGGACAGCAGCAGGAACAGTCCTCTGGAGAGCTCGCACGGTGTACTCGGCAACCACCTCAGGAGCTACCTTCTTTGATTCTGACCCTGGTGTCACCATGTTTGGTTTCAACAGACTTCCCTCGAGAAGGACATGGTGATCATTGAGCGCCTTGTAGCATGCGGCCAGCACACGCTCTGTAACCTCAGCACATTTTGCAATATCATGTGGCCCATCAACAAGGATCTCCGGTTCAACGATTGGGACAAGACCATTCTCCTGGCAGATGATAGCATAGCGTGCCAACCCATTAGCATTTGCATCAATTGACAGTTGTGATGGCTCATTTGGACTGATCTTGAGAACAGCACGCCACTTGGCAAAGCGAGCCCCTGCCTCATAGTACTTCTTGCAGCGTTTGCCCAGGTCATCGTGACCCTGGGTGGTGGTCTCACCATTGGTACCAGCAAGTTCAACGGTACCCTTGTCTACCTTGATACCGGGAAGGACTCCACCCTCCTTGAGGACTTCGACAAAAAGCTTTCCATCGACTGTCTTCTGGTAGAGAGTCTCCTCAAAGAGGATGACACCACTCAGGTACTGAAGAGCTCCAGGAGTGCAAAAGAGAAGCTCACGGAGATCACGACGGTTCTCCTCGACATTCTCCACATTGATGCTGGCAAGGCGCTTGCCTATCGTGCCAGTGGACTCATCAGCAGCAAGGATACCCTTCCCAGGGGTGCCGATGTAGGCAGCATTAGCAATAAGCTCATCTACAATATGGAGTGCAAAGTTAAATATACAATATTACCAAGAAGAAAACATGAATAAAGGCAGACCTTCAACCAGATAAGAAATTATCATCAAAATATGTAAATACATCGCTATCTATGTTCTGAAAGGCATACAAGAAATGACTTATGAAATTTAAAGCAAAAGGGTTACATGAGCAGAACATGCACTGTTTCAGAAATTGGATGACATTTGAATAAATTGCTATGTATGTTCTGAACAGCATACAAAAATTGTAAGAGTGAATTAATTGTAAAACTAACATATACCATGGAGGCTTTCGGCAACACTTGAAATCTCAATTTACTCATCTTAAAACATTCAGACCACCATTTAAAATAATTGATACATAACTAAACTAACTTCATAAAGTTCAAGCAGATTCAAATAGCCAAGATCTTTAGGCTCATTATAAAACAAACAAGAAAAATTTATAGCAACAACTATTAACCTTGGAGTCTCACTAAGATTTCCAAGAGCAATAGTGCAGTAAAGATTGACACAGTAAAAAAATATAACCTCTTATTCTTAGATAAAATGTTGAAGATCATCTTGGGGCCTACAATGATTATAATATCAGCCCTAATACAGTAGTCTTTAATAAAAAACTTTGTAATAGCTACTTGTGTTCCATCAATGCAATTTTTGTGGTTGGCATTTACGGTCATCTAATTGAGATTAAAGATGTCTCAATATCCAGAATGACCAACAGGCACAGATTCGCAGACATGCATACACAATCAGCATAAACAGAACCAGCAGCAATTGAGCATAAGGTCTCTTCCCAATTATTCCTCATAACCTCGATACAACTTTGCCTTCACAACTACAGCTGCCGTTAATATGCTACACATGGAATGATGATAGAAAATGATGACAATTTCTATTTGCAGAACAGCTTTTTACATATCACTTAAAGATAAAACATCAACGGGAAAGCATGAGAAATGGAAAGGTTGAACTGAGGATTCTTTAAAGTTGGACAGAGGATTTACATGGTAACTCACAAGACCATAAGCAAAGAACCTTCTATAACAATACGACAAGGCTTAAAGTAATGTAATGTAGATGCTTACTGTTTTCACACAACAAGCATGAACCCTAAAAGCCAAGAGAATTTCAGATTAAAGAACAGCAAAAAGGATCAATAAAACTACATATAATCGACAAATTAATCGGATCGAGTAGAGCTATAAATAATACTGATTGAGGGGGAAAAAAAAGTTCTCGAAAAGAACACACTCCTTCACTATTAGCTTCAAATCTACGCTAGGAGGAAAAGAATAAGGAAACAAAAAAGTAAACTATGGGGGAAAATAAAAACACCATATCACACAGACCCAAAAGCCAAAAAAAACATTTTTTCAGATGCAAGCCAATTCAGATCCACGAAAATCTCAAATCCACCAATTAAACCAACCAAAGTTTGACCCTCATGAAAGACAGCCCCAAAGAATCGGTAAAAATACAGAAATCCACGAGGCAGGACACGATGTAGTAACATGCAAGTGGAAGAAACGAAGAAAAGAAACTTTTTTAGCTCCACGCGGAACGAGGAGTAGGAGACATGGACAAGAAACACAATATGCCAGATCTTCGAAGAATCCAACAGTCGACAAAAATCCAGAAATCCAAGAGGCAGGACGCCGAACATAGTAGAAGAAGACGGAAAACAAAAAGGGCACGTTTACAAGTACGAAGGAGGAAAAGGACAAAAACAACACAATTTTCCAAATCGAAACCATGTCACGTCTTAGAAGGTCTAAATCCAGCTAGCAAACCAACCAAAACTTAATCTTCACGAAATCCAGTGCCAGAGTATCGGTAAAGATCCATAAAACCACGAAGAAGAAACCGAAAACGTACATCAGATGTTCCCAAAAGAAGCGAAAAGAACAACTTTTACAAGGAACTGGGGAAGGATACCGTGAAACTGGCCGCAGTAGGCAGACATCTTGGATTCGAGAGGGTGATCGGAAGGAGAACAAGCCAGAAGCACAGACGGAGCGTTTGGAGGAGCGCGACGAATAGAGTTGGGAGTGAGATAGTGCGCGTTAAATAGGAGGGACGAAAGGAAGCGATCGGCAGGGAAGAGACGGATGCGGTCAGAGGTCTCCTCGCGATGGGTTTGGGGCGATGGATGTAGGCAAAACTTGTGGCTTGCCAACTGTTAGACTCCTCCGTCCTTCGTCTACCACCAAACCTAATTGGTAACCGTACCTATGTCACCTACCCACTCCCGGCCCCACTTTTGCTAACCAATCATCACGCTTGCAACGAGGCATTTCGGTTGCGGTTGGTAGCCAAGGGGTATACCTTCTTCCCATGGGCTACTTCGGTTTCGACGTCGATATCGAGCCTCGACGAAGCCGCCACGAACGCCGCGACTGAATCACCCGTGTAAATTGTCCGGGTGATGTCATCTCCCGCGGCGGGCCAGGGGATACTCATATGCGTGTGGATCGCATCACCCCTGGCGGTTTTCAGGGGTGATTCAGTCTGCCCCGGAAGCAATCTCCTCCCTGCTACCAACCACAAATAATGCCTCTTATAATAAGAGGAAGTTATAATGACTGATACGTTGATCATAATAGCTTTATGGTGAGCATGGTCATGGTCTGAACTCTAAGGGATGAGATGAGCAGGTTTGATTACGAAGATATTTGTAAGCATCAAGAATATATTCATATTATTATTATATAAAAATTAGAATTAAAATTAAATAATTATAGATTGAAGATTATTTTTTTGTTTTATTATTTTTTATAGAGAAAAAAATATCGTTGATGTTCTTCTTGTAACTTTGACCCGTATGCACAAAATCCAAATGGAAAGTATCTTCTCTTGAATTGTCACATACACAAAAATCGAAGTTGGGATAGACTTCTCGATCCGACCCCTCAAACGTTTAAGTTAGTCCCAAGATCAACTTTTCTACGTTTAAGTTCTCGATTTTGTATCCGTCTACTTAGAGTTGAGATTTTTCTCCTCGACTATTGTGCCCAGAGAATCATTCAATATGAGCTTCTATCGTAGTGGGTCTTTTAGGATGAGTCGAGTTTTTTCCAACTCATGCATCTCAAGCATCATTCAGCTCGAGTCTCTATCGCAACGGGTCTTCTAGAGCGGGTCATGTTTTTCTCAACTTATATGTCTCAAACACCATTCGACATAAGTCACTGTCATAACAGATCTTCTAGCACGGGTTAAGTTTGTCTTGACTCACACTACGGGCTTATCTAAAATAGATAATTCCTCACATGCCTATGTATTCGTATCGATTATAAAATGTTGACTTTATTGACTCTATATCAAGGACACAAAACTATAGCTTTGGTTATTAAGATAATCTTCACAAACACTAGCATTGTGCAGTTGTACAGTTGTTGTCATTGGAACTACATGACATGAAAGAGGAAAAAAGAAAAAAAGAACTGCAACATAAGAAGTGGACTGCACGTCTCAAGCATCAAGAGAGTGGGCAGGAGAATGGAAGATTCAAAATGAAGATTTAAGCCTGACAACAAAAGAGAACTTGTTTTATAGGTTCTTCAGCACCAGGAAAAGTTGATCCACTAGCCATAAAGTTGCACAGGGCATCTTGTAATCTTGAGTGGCCTATTCTTTGATGTATTGAGTCAGCATCCACTCCCCCAACTTTGACATTATTCGCCTGTCTCTTTCCCTGTTGGAATCCTCATCAATTAGCAGTACTTTGTAGAAGTCATGATGCCTTTAAAGTTGGTCTATTCAACTAAATAAAAAAGTTGTTCTTAATCCTAGACTTCAAGAGTAGAAGACAAACATAAATTTGTGTTGCTACTCAAGTTTTATAAAGATAAAAAGGTTCTGACATTATACATTCCAAATAGTTAATCCTTGATCACACCAACCTGACACATCCAACTGCACATTTCTCTAGGATACAAGAGATGACCAACCTATCAGATCACAATTATCGTATCATGAAGCATTTAATAACCAATAGCAGTACGATGATAATTGATCATACTTCTTCAAGTAATAGTACAATAATCAATATTATGATATAAAGCAATAGATCAATGGTAAAAGTAGAAGTTATGATATTCTCCATTCTCCGCACTAATATATACCATAATCATCTTTGTCTCAAGAGGCGCCTCGGACACATGTGGTTCACGATGATAAAACTACGACTATCACCACATTAATGCACCAATGACATACAATATATCAATATACTATGTCATACAATCATTTTTAGAATTGGATCAAGAACCCCGTTCCATCGCTCATGGAGTCCCTAGTTCTTTTTTATGATAAAATCAGATATATCCATTGATTGATTACTTAATTCATTTAAATTTTAAAGTTTAAATTATTTAAAAAATAATCTAATAATTCATATCATTTATTTATAGATAATTCAATATTAATGAAATGGATATCCATACCATAAAATTACTCTGCATAATAACAAAAAAGTCACTATTCTTTTTTAATTTAGATTATTTTACTAAAATTATATTAAATTTATATTTATTTTTGACTTAAAAATCCTAATCTAACTTTTTTATATTTTTAAAAAAATTTAAAACTATTTTTAGTAATTTTATCATACCGTTAGTATGACTAGGCATACCGACATACGATACATCGAGACACCTTGATACATATCGTATCGATGACTAATCAATATACTAGTACGAATCGATATGACAAACCTTGTTTATTAGTATGTTTCTCACCTAATTGTCCATCTATTTATAGAGAATAATAAGGAAGTTAAAGCACAATATACAATTCAAGATGATGAATGCTCACTAAAGAATGAGAAGAAAAGCACCCTGATCTGATGTCTAAACAACTTCGATAACAAAAGCAAAATTCTCAATTTGTATCTTGAACATAAGTTTTTCAAAGAGAATCACTTGCAAGTCACACACCAGAGGAACAACACACAAGCTGATAAAAGAAAATTGCTGTTAGATAAACCCATGACATGATTGAAGATGACAATAAAATAACAGACCGGCATGCTGTCATGACTTATGATGTTCATATAGGCATGTCTTTCATGATCCAACCAATACTCAGGCAACCACAGGTTTCTTTGTTGGCCTGTGAAACATGCAGAAAGCTATTAACATGCTCGAATACTATACTTTGTTTGCACTTTACCCTAAACTAGTTTTGCCATGATGCAGAAACAATTTAATCAGGAAGTTTCCAATCTAATCAAACAGCCTATGCATTATCTTACACAAAAATATGTTCATGATACTAAATAACAATTCGCTTATGATACTTTACTTTCTATTGGCTGACAGGATCTTCTTTGTCTGAGGTGCCAAGTGTGCTGTATATAAGGTTTGCTACTAACAGGGTGCCTACTGTTGATGTTGATACTGGTTCCTGATGACAGTGATGATATTGGCTGTGCTGCAAATGTACACCATCAAAGCGACAACCATAATATGATTATTCAGAACAAGTTACAAGAACTTAAGGGCAATATCCTGAAGCCATCAGCTCATATGCTGACCATGGACACAATATTGTGATGGAGGACCCAAGAGTAGGCTGTGGTAGTGGAAGTGGCCCTTATATTTTTGACTCCTTTGCATTCTGTGGCTCACCAGGTGTTACTAAAGCCTGCATGGAACCAAACAGTTGTGGCCGACATGTTGTACAACCGTGGTTACTGTAGACCACTAATGTGCTAATGAATTCCAAGAGTCAGAAGGAGCTGAATGAAACATCTATAACTAAGATTTAAGTCCTCAGAATAAGTTGATGTTTAAGTTGGGAAAGAATGGAACTTACAGGTATTTCTTAAACTAAAATGATACATGAGCTCTAAATGAATGCCACAAGATAAATTTTGCATTATGGAATTGCCCAAGTCCAACATGAGTGCAGCATTCAATACTATATCCACTTTATTCCAGAATGACAATATATACTATCCCAACTGAATAGATAATGAATTTTATCCAAACATCAGGCAGTCCACAAAAGCATAGGTGTTGCAATTTAAGCAAGATCACAGGAGTTAATTTGATTAATAAAAAAAACCAAGGAAATGGATATAGACTGTGAATTTAAATTGAACCACTATTGAACTTTTAGGTGAAGAAACATATTACAGCTATATCGCAAAACCTTTAACCAATGAAATGATTTTCTGGATGCAGAACATCTGATTCGATGTATTCTTGGAAGTATCAAGCATATAAATTTGGCTGTAGGGATCAAGAGAAAAACGTCACCGGTCAACCAACTTGTTGCTTTACTCATGGAATCCTGGTATTAGCAATTACAAACATTTATGGGCATCTAGGAAGTGTGATAAAAAAAGAAAGATTTAAAGACAAAGGAATAGGAAAAACATGCTCCTTAAAGAACTAATAGTCAATTTCCTAAAATATCAAATTGAACCAATCAAGAACTGAACGGCATAACATGAAATAGGTGCATAAGAGGAAGGCACAAAACAAACAGACAATCATCCTCAGATCCTTCATGTATTAGTAATCAGAGGAGGTATACACACTATTGTTCAAGTCTTCAAGAGGGTCATTGATCAGGTGTCATTGTTGCACTTCCTGATTCAAACGGCCTACCACTAGCAAACAAATACAAGAAGTGCTGACAACAAATGTTAAAATCTAAATTTGGATCATAAAATCTTTTTATTTTATGATGTTATAGACCTATGATGATCCTAATTGCTAATACAATCTATTAGTTATAAAATCTAAATAGGATCTACATCCAAATCTCAAAATCCTATAATCTCGACCTTACCTATGATTCAAATCAAGGTTCGCAATATCGTACCGTACCGATATTTCGACCTGGGCTCGGTACCGGTATGGTACAGTATACCGAGTGGTACACTCAGGTGTACCAAGTACTGTAGCACTACTACAATGCTACAGTGCACAACCTGTCAGACCGGTACGTACCGCCATACGGGCGGTACGGCTCAGTACGGCAGACCCTGATTCAAACAATCCATGCAACTTTTTTTAAGTGTTGAATGTTCCCCAAATGTAATCATGCAGATTTATGTCAGATGCATCCTTCAACCATTCCATACCAACTAAAGAAACTAATCACCAACTTTAGCTAAACCACCTAATTAATCCTTTACCTCTAGGCACCACTTAATCATAAGAAGATTGTCTAAAATAAGAAGTTGCACCAGCTTTAGTCCTACCTGGGCATCATTACCTGTTTCAATCAAGTGAGAAATAGGGTAACCATGCAATGACTAATAGGGATTTACCAATGGATCTGATCCTTGAATTGTTATAAGCAAACTCAGCTTGAGGTAAGATCAAATACCATTAGGTAGATTGCTTGCTTGTTACGCAAATTGGTAAATTGACCAGAGATATCATGACTACCTTAGTTTGACAATCTACATTGGATGGTTACCGCTACTCAACTAAAGTTTAGTTAGTCCTTCAATTAGACACAAGATCAAATGGCTCGAGTTTAATTGATCCATATTAAAGTAAATAACCAAGGAATGACATACAAGCAGACAATTTGTTTAGAAAATAAATATGCAAAATGTGATGTATTGGATATCTTATTATGAGGAATGAAATGTCTCATTTAACAAACCAATCAAGTATCATTATCTACAAAGACATGACTAACCTTTGTAGATGTTTTAATAAACCTAGCATAAAATCAACAAGAACATCTTTCCATGCTGCTATAGAAATGATTATGGAGTTTTAAGTCCTTTAGTGAATGACATAAATGTATGGAAAACTTGATACCAGTCACATACCTTTACAGATCTCATCCCATGTTTGTCTAGTCAACCTTCTTGCCCTGGGTCCAAAATCTTTCCTATACTAAAGTGACCATTACCAACTAAAAACCCATTTTGCAAATTGTGAACTAAACTCTCCAAGTGACCCTGTAGGAATGCATAAGTGTCCCATGAAAGAAATATCCTTTTTTAATGACAAAGTTGGCAGTGGGATTCATAGTAAGCTCCTAATATGACTAAAAACTTGGTCCAAAAAATTGATCATTATTATGGCTTTAATTGACTCTAAACCATTTGTATAACAACCTTTAATGGAATCTAAACCTACAACTTGAACTAACACAGTAACTAGTAAACTTTATCGATGACTTGGTGCATCTAGTAGATTTTATTGTGGAACTAGCCTTATGTTGTACGTGAGAATTGTACCTTTGGTAAATGAAGACTATCTATCATGTGTTTACTTCAGATTATTTTGTGAGTTCAAATAACCAACTTCTGTTTTCATTACTACAGGTCATCATGTCAAGCATAACAAGTCAATTCTTGAGAAGCATTGTGAACTCCAACTGAAATAGAAAGACAGCAGAATAGTAAATCAAATAAGTTAATGGGCACATGAAAAGCTTCAATTTTTTTCTCTTTTTTCCTCCAGTGGCTTGCCAAACCTTGGCATCCAAAAATAGCATGACTAGATCTTCAATTTCAGAGAGCAATATTTCATGTAATATTATCCCGAAAAGCATCACAACGCAATTCAACTGCACAATCGGAAGAGACATCTCAGGTTGAGTAACTCTTCCTTACCAGACTCAACCTACAAAGGATGGTCAGCTATAGTGCAGTTCATACATCACTATTCTTAAATCCATTGATCATAATAGACAAAGAAAAGGGTATCTGGAATTATCAGAGGCAAACTATCTATATAGCGGTATAAGCGCCTCACGTTATCCTTTTCTAGTGTCATGTTATCAACCACATCGCCATTGCTTGTAAGCACCCAGAGGTCTCTTGACCGAATTCTTTTTAAGCTCCCCCTGCAAAAGGGGCAAGATTGAGATCTCACATCCCTGGAGATTGAAACGGTGACCAAAATTAGAGGAAATAAAAGTATGAAACCTCTTTACTTATAACATAATGACAGTGGGTAAGCATTTTTACCAGTCACGGTAGCATTTTAGGCACATGGCATGGCTGCAGCTTGGCAAGACCATCTTGGTGCAAACCTCCAGACATATCCCACATTCATCCTCTCGGTCCAAATCCTTATCAGAAGCCTTTTTCCGGTCTTCCATCCTCTTCCTTCCAACAATCTCCTTATTCTGGCCTCTCTCACTACATTCCTCCCTACCCATCAAGTTACTATCAAGTTGTTGAAGAGAAGGGTACACGACAGCTGCGATGTTTTCGCCCAGAAAAGAGGAAGAATCCTCATCAGGATACAAGGGAAAACGAAGTACCTCAAGAATCTTATAAACACATGAAAGCAAAAGTTTTGCTGACCATAGAATTCCCTGAGGCTGGCACGCCTTTCATAGGTGGATATCGATGATGTTCCATCAACATAAACCTGGATAATTTACATCATAAATTTCAACACTCAGACCACATGAATTAATCCTCACAACTCAAGAAATGCCTTCGTAGCAACAACATAAGAAACTTGGATGAACAGAAACCAAAAGACAACCGAAACAATATAAAATCAGATACAGTGAGATGATAACCTTGTATATCATGATCTGGAAAATGCATAAATAACTGAGAAGACTATAAGAACAAGAACAGCCCATATACTGGATGAGGAAGAGGAAAAATGGTGCCAAAGGGCTGCAAGACAATCTCATGTGCAGGCACGGACCACCATAGGCTCTCTGAATAGTTTCTGCCCTGCAGCATCAGCAATGGCAGGTACCAAACAGATTACAACTCATCGAATCTTACAAACTCGTAGCAACAAAGAAGCATGAGCCCGAAACCAGAAATGTCTGGTAACAAAAGAAAGCAATTGGATGGAAGAGACAGGAAGGCATGGAGGGATTACAGGGAGTTGGCGTGGCTTATGTCAGCTTCAAGGCCCTTCAAGGAACCTCTGAAGGATGATGTCCTCGAAAGCTGGTTCTGAAACATGGCCTCGAACAACTCTTTCTTTTCTTGAAACAGAGAAAGAGAGAGAGAGAGAGAGAGAGAGACGGTGGTAATGGAATCCTTTGTGCTGTTAGGTCTGGTTATATAACAAGAGATCGTTGATTGAGAAGAACCTTTTGGGGGCAGGAAGGAGACCACTGGCTAAAGATGGAAGGGGAGAGCAGAACAGCACAGCACAACACAACACAGCACAGGGGTAGTTCAGCTTTTCTAGAAAGGAGCCAAAATATAGGAGTTTTGGGAATTTTTATCCTTTATATATTTATATATATATATATGATGATTTTAAAAAAAAAAAACTTGTAACTTTAAAAAATTCTAACTTTTTTTATTAGCACTCCAACTTTTAAAAACAAAACTTTTTTTCTAAAATGATCCTTCTACTTTCATTGAGCATTGCTTTTTGTTCATCTTGATCGTGTATTTATTTCATCGATCGTTTTCTTTTGTTGAATCCATCTAGTATTTTTAGCGATGATTAGGGCATGCCTCCTCCTTCTTTGTCGATAATTGATAACGAAGGAATGTAATGAGACAATGAGTGAGGGTGGACTATCTTTTCGTACCGAAAGTTGTACCTTCGTCGTTGGGTTTAGTGAGGTCCAACGAGAGTCATTACACTCTCATCGCTAGTTAGATTCGATGAAAGAAAAAAGATTTTGATGAGTCGGATAAAAGGACTTGCTAAAAAATAAAAACGATCAAGAGCGAAGATGTTGGTGGATTCAATAAAGACAAAAGTAGGATGAGCTAAGAAAGAAGTTTTTTTTTAGAATTTACATATATAATTTATTCAGAAAATAACTCATTAATTGAATTTGATCAATCTTAAATTTTATGCAGGACACATCTTTTTTATAAATGAATAAATATATCCTTCATTTCTTTCGTTAATTATATAATTTTAGAGTGAATCAAATCAAATCGAATCGTAATTAATCAATTTTCTACCTTTCTTTATGCTTTATTGAACCAATCATAAATGTTTTATCAAATGGAAGCGAAAGTTACACCTTCGTTATAACGTAAATCCTGGAGGGATCCTATCAAAAAATAAAAATAATATGTGAGCGAAGCCACTAATAAATTTCATGGAAGAAACGGTACAATAATTTATTTTTACGATAGAAAGTTCTCAAAATTATGAGTTTATATATATATATATATATTTATTTATTTATTGAACAAATTAATAGTGGCAGTAGCTTTCAAGGTTGAATAGTTGAAGGTGGGTGAAGCGGTGGGGCCGAGATGTCACCCTGACGCTGGGGCCCGGTGGCACCGCGTATCAATCGATCAGGACAACACAATCTCTCGCGTGTGCGTCTTATACATGTAATTCTGACTCCGAGTGCGTGTGAGAATATAGTTCTGGGGCGGTAGGTGTTTGTGATAATTTCCCAGAGAAAATGACACGAGATTAAAAGGACGTTCGAAGGTGCACCTCCGACATGTGTGTCGGTCTGTGTTGACAGTGTTGACTGAGAGAGAAGGAAAGACATCACAGTGGGTTGGTGTGATTGATGACTCCTAAAGAAAATGACAGGGGAAGACATTTGAGTCCGCGACTTCTCTGTGGGGGATTCAAAAGCAGAAGCTTTCGGTGGCATCTTCACAGCTCAATCCTGCAGTAAGGAAAGCAAGGAAATAAAAAGGAGAGAGACTTAGAATAAGGAAAAGAAAGTCACTGTGTATTATAAGATACCAACCTTGTGGATGATTTGATTCCAGAATTGAACCTATGCATCTCATAAGCGGCTTCTCTTTTGACAAAAAAAGAATATATAACAATTAATAACCAAATAAACAATGGTGGCTGTTGAGCACTAAGAACATCTTTAGACCTTCTCAAATGAAAGCTGGAATACAACAGTAGAGCTTACACACAATTCTAGTAATTTGGGTTCTAAGAGTCAATATGATAAAAAGTTCTATTGGGTTTCCACAATTCCCAGAGGCTTAAACTATCAAGGAAAAGCACAATGCATACTCAAGCAGAGGGACCGCATATATGAATGCAATAATAATGAAGTTAATTAAATATATTAGGTAAACGCGGCTTAACCTCAAGCGTACAAGTATAGAATTATTCAAGGGCTGCCGACCTTGCTTGTCGGAGAAAACATATTTGTCACACAAACCTATTTTTTAATCTTCATAGCTTCATAAAGTTCGAATCTCTTTTCAGATGTGATGCAATCTCCCTTGTTATCTTGTGTCGCCTCTTGCGGTTAGTCTTTGATCAGGTAAAAAGAGCCTGGATGATCAAAGAAACAAAGATAAGATATGTTAGCTTTGGAAGTTGCACATCAAAACAACAGCAGCAGCAGCACAACTTTTTATGTAAGTGGGATGTATTGTTTCAAGCAATAGCAGCACATTGAATTTGTTATGAGCCAGTTGCCAAAAAAAAATCGTTTTGAGCCCAACAAGCATTAATATATTAATGGCCTGAGGTAGCTTAATACACAAACATCAGGAGCAACCAGTATCCATGACTGGCTACAAAATCCAAGGCTGACATTAGATACTGCAACTCAGTTGCCTTGTAGCTAGCACTCCTTTGCAGTCACCAGTTACATGTCCAGCCAGTGTTTTGAGAATCAATTTGCCTACCATGTTATCATCTCAGAAGCATGCAGAATCCACTCTTCATCTTTATTGATAAGAATAACATCAACAAGCCCTAATGTCTTGATTATCTGGGATTGAGTTCACATTTATATCAATACACAAAAAGAAACAACGTGGTACCTCCAAATTCCATATCATTTTCTTCTCTGTGGATCTCTGCTGAGGCTATGTTTCTTCAACAATTTGATATAGCTTCGCATGAGGGTGAACTTGTTGGCACCCAGATGATAAAAGTAATTCCATGTGTATATGCCAGTCTTGTGCAAGTCATCAAAAATTATTCTGGTAACCATCCACAAGTAAATACTCGAGCAATATGCATTAATCATAGCACAAACAACCCTTACCTGACTCCATAGTTTCCAACTGGTTCTGCGGACATGATGCCAACATGCCGACGGCCAGATATCACCTGGCTCAAGAAGAATGAACTTTGCAAAAAGATTTTAGGCATTACGAGGTAACCAGGAGAATCGCAGTTCTCTCTCATTAGCAAGTAAAAATACAAAACATTTCACTGTTATAACCATCATGCTGCATCGCAGTTGGCAAAACAATAGCACTCCGTTACACATATTGCAGTCATCTTAATAGCTATTACAACTTTCAGTTAACCAGCTAAGAGCACACGAGATTAATCTTCGGTACCTGGCTATATTTTATTGTATAAATGATGTACTAATATATCTGATCAGTAAAAAAAGAGGAGATGGTTTAGTTAATAACATGCCTGAACTTGTCTTGTTAATAAAAAAGATCGAAGTCCAAAATGCAAGAGGTCAGTTCAATTGTTAAGAGAGCAGTAGCTGCCTCTACGGTGTAGCTCCATTTTCCAATGGGATGAAATGAATAGCAATAAGATTGTTATTGATTTTGCTAGAGAAAAATTGATCTAACATTGGCACAGAAATGAAGCTTCAGAAGGATAGGAATTTTGCTGAAGAATTTAGAGGAATGCATATGAAATATAAAGAAATAAAAACTCAACAATGTTTCATCCACCTGTCAATTAAAACAGGTTAAGTTGGTGTTTTGAAATATAGGTCTAATTACGGTCCACTACTGTTGACCTAAATATCAGGCACCATTCTAAGCCAACAGGTTTAGCATCATATATTACCAAACAAGATTCTTCTTCATTGAATATCTTTTACAGTAATATTGTTTCAGATATATAAAACGTGAGTAAAACACTCAACCGAACCAATTCTTAGTATGTCAATTTAATCCAACATTTAGTTAACTGACATAATTAGGTCTGACAAAGTCAACCATATCAAGTTTGCTACCATAAAGATTATGACTTTGGTGCTTCAATTAGACGAGAGTTGATCATAAAGGTCAGGCTTGGTGACCAATCCTAATCGTAAAACAAACATTTTAATTGGAGGCAACAAAGATCTTTGGAAGAAACAGCTATAGTTGTGTGCTTTAATGAAAAATTAAACTAAAAGGTGGGTGGTGTGTGTGTTTCACGAGTTGCTCTCACTTCAGTTTATTCTAGCCTCCAACACTAGAACTTTCTGTATAATCGTGAACAGCACAGACAAAAGATATAGATAACAATTTCAAAGTTTCAAATGAAATTACTTTATAAGGTTAAATCAATTGTAAATATGGAATAATGATCCTTGCTCATGTGTTGAAAATTTGAAAAGTATTTTCTCGAACATAATCATGGGTTTTGTATTCTGGAGGATTTGAAAGAGTTACAAATTCTTTTCTTTGATTGTTCATATTGTAAAATTATTTTAAAGACATAAAGTGGCAAATGTTTTGGAATAATATCAACCATCTCAAAGCTTAGCATCAAAACATTTTCAGTTATTGTGATTTAGGATTTTATTAAATAGTGATGTGTATAACACTCGACTAATGCGGAATTATCTATAACTTCTCAAAATAGTTATTAGGGCTCTTAAAAGCTATCAAGCATTTTCTTTCTAGTGACTTAAATTCTCCCTCAACCTAGGATAGCCCAAAATAGGACTCTTACACATCAATTGTACTCAAAATAAGATTCCAAAGCCACAATAAAATGTCTTAAAGGACAGTAGAAGTAGGGGAAAGTGATCCAAAGACCCATAAGACTTAATTCACTGGTCTGATCCAATTAAATCTGAACATAGAGCTTGATATCTCATGTTTCAAGACAGATAATAACCAAAATATTAAGCTCAGCTTCAGGCTCAACACAAAAACAGAAAAAAGAAGATTTAGTGATTCGAAATTTTCATGCTTCTCTTCATACCACTTCACTAGAAAGATATCTTTGCTCTGTGCTTTCAGCATAGCTCCATTGTTGGATGCTACACTGCTTCCCATAACTCGTTCAGCCACTACCAAGTTGAACTCAATGCCAGAGTGTCCGGCAAATGTTTGGGCTAAGAGAAACTAAGTCTAACATCAAGAGTGATGTGTAAACTGAACAAAGGTCGTCTACAACATGGTACTGCACACAATAGAAGACACCAGATTAGCTGTTCCGCTTCCCTCTCAAAAGGCATGGGAAAGATTTCATGAAACAAATTTCTTTGATATTCCATACCATATGATATCCTAACGAAGCAATTCTTTTGGCTCAATCAAGTCGAGTCCAGTATAGAGAGAAGGCATTACACATTAGCAATTTTGTCATTTAGGATGAACAAGATGCAAACTATATTGAAAATTAGGGGAATCAATTATGCTAAAAATTTGATAACCATAAACCTAGTAAACAAGTGCAGCATCTATAGTAGGAGTGCAATCAAATAAGAACAAATATAAAGAGCAAAAATTTAAATCCCCAGAAAAGAGACCAAAAAGATGAATAAGACAAATGCACAAGTCACAACATTTTGGTATCATTAAGAGCCAGCTCTTAATCACGAGTCAACATGACAAAGCACAGCAGACTATTGTTTGCCATGCCCATGTCACGTCTAACTATCACGTAGATCTCCACAAACAACCTCAAATAAGGAAACATTACCTTCTCACCGCCTATCGTTCTGATCTTGCTGTCGACGGCGGGGCTGTACACTCTGAGAAACTCGGCTGGAAGGTTGAAATTGCTGCCATCGGAGAACTCCACTTCTACCTGAAAGAGGAGAGGGTCAACAATGCAACCAATGTGAAAAATACTAGCCGAGCAAGCTTTCGAAACAACAGATACTGGCATTCGTAAGACACAAAAAAGAGCTATCCATTCATCAAGCTCGAAGCCTCTATGCCAAGGGTGCATAGGGTTGATCTAGGGTACAAGGCACCGAAGCCGAGGTAAGAAGGGCGAACTCTTACGGCCTTGGGAGGGTGGAGGGCGAGTCTGGTTAGCCGGGGTGGTTGCGCGGAGGCGTGCGCGCGTCGGACCGCCAAGAGGAGAAGAGAAGACGACATCGCGCGCATCATTCTCGGTGTTGACCGCCCATTTCCACTCGGCTGGTTCAGGGAAAAAAACAAACAGCTTCCGGGCAGTACTATGCGGAGGAAGCGAATGGCCTTCGCATGGCATCATCCGATGCCTATTTGGGCTCGCCCAACAAAATACGGATCTTGATTCGATCCAAACGAAATAATCCTAGTCCATTGGTCTAACCCTGACGAGCATAACTTTGTAAAAGATTAATTACATATTATTTCATATAATTAATTATTCTTAATATTTTTATCTTTATATTTTTTAAATTATATTAAAATTCTTATAATAATGAAAGTAATTTTTAATTTTTAAGTATAAATATAATTTTTAAAAATATAATAATTAAAATATTAAAATAATTAATTAGATAATATGTAATTAACCCTACTAAAGATGTTTTAGAACCTAGATTGACAATGACTTCATTTTAAAGGAAATTAAAGCAAATTTAAGAATTAACCAAATATATACAAACACATAAATATCTTCTATATTTCATCTCATAGAAAACATTTGAGACAATCCAGCTATTATTGCAATAAAATGAAAACATTCATTGACAAAGTAGCAGGGAAAGATTTTGATCAAGAAGCCAAGTTCAAAATGAAAAGATTGTTAGAACAAAGATATGTTTCACTTTTGAAAGCAATATAATGGTTGCCAAAGTCCCCAACCACCAACAAAGCAGCATGTTAACCAATCAGATTCCTAGCAAAAATGAAGTTGGATGACATGATAAAATATTGATTCATTCAAGACCTTAATCAGGTCTTCTAACAAAGAAATGATGGCTGCTTCAATAAAAATATACCAAGGCAGGGGATAATCCATTAATACACTCATTAGACACTAATGGGTAAAGCAGTTGCCTGCAAATTCCAATAGCTTCACCCTTTTAGAATGTCAACTAAATTCTCTTTTTTGGGCACTTTTGCTGCTTCACAATTTTCTTGTCAAGCACCTCTTGTGCACAGTAAAACCCTATAAGAACTTCTGAATCCCTCATGGACCAGACAAATCAGAAGCATTAAAAATCTTGAACATGCATATCAAGACCCATAATCTCATGATTGAATCGAGCGTGGTGAGCTAATATGTAGATATGGAATCAACCAGAGGCAGCTCGAAATGGTACAACACGGGGAACAGTCACACTTTCTCTACTTGCAGCTCGTGAAGCAGCAACTTCCTCAAGACGCTTCCATGTAGCTTCACGTTTCGACATGATCTCCTTGTTTTTAGCTTCATCTTCTTCAAATTTCTTCAAACACTCCGCAACCAAATCAGGATCATGATCAGAGAAAATCTTGCACACATTGAGTGTTAGGCTCTTCACGGCTTGGTTCCAGTGGGTCCTTGTGTTTCTCTCCAATGCAGGAAAGATGATCGGTAATAAAACCTTGCTATTTTGTTTAATCAAATTTTCAATGTGGTCATTATTCCAAAGGAACAATGCTCTTTCTGCCACCTGCATCAGCAGAAGATTCGAGAGTGATTAAAATTAATCAGACTTTGAGATTAAAATTAATTAGAGATAACCAATACAAACCTTCCATCAATAGTTAAGGTGTATGAGATTAAAATTGCTAGTGTGACTCACAATTCAAGCATGCAAAGACACAAAGATAGATAAGTTAACAAACTTACATACCAAGGTAAACTATAAAAGATCTTTCCATACAATTATCAAACAATAGAAATCCTAGATGAGATTTTTAAAAATATAATAATTGTATCACTTCCTGATTATTCAATACATTGTTTATTGACATGAGAAAAGATCAAGTAGTTGCAAAATTTATTGAAAATTTCAAATGAATGATTATCGATAGGTCCCTGATAGGACAAAATATTGGAAAACAAGATATATATGTTTAGTGGATTTATGTACCTAAAAGAATTTTGTGAACACTTTTAGTTACTAACAGTGGTTTATCCAATAAAGGAATTGTATGCAGAAACAAATAGATCTCATGAAAAAACTTCAACAGGAGAAAACAATGTTGACTGTGTAACTCATCCAATGACTGACTAAACAGAATATCATCCTATCCTCTAATTTTATACAGTGTGTATGTGCAATAATTAGGATAAGTATTTCTCTAGATCAGTTCAAAGCACCGAACCAACACAAATCAAAAGTTTGTGAAATGCATATGACCACTGGAAGTTTGGTGGTTCAAGGGTTAATTTACCATTATCCCATTGACTAGTTGAAGTTAATACAAAGTAGAGATACAAGTCTTCAAGGCACCTATACTGATGCATAATATTCATTGCTCATATAGTTGAAGTTAATACAAAGTGTTGACACAAGCACTCAAGGCCTGGTGAAGGTGATGGCGATGCTAGTGGCATGAACTACAAGTGATAGCAACCATGATAGTGGTGAGATATTGTAGTGGTATGGTGGCAGCAGAAAAGGTGTAGTGTTGGAGGCGGCCATGATGGTGATAGGATGATAATGACAACCACAGTATTGGCAATGCTGTTAGCAATGGCCACGAAGGTGACAGTAGTGGCAGTGGTGATTGAGACGAGTGGCAGTAGTAGTCATTTTATTGTTGAGGTGCAAAACACAGTGGCAAAGGTGATGATAGTGACAATGGCAACAGTGATAATGTGCTTAAATAAGAACATGAGATGATCTGAAATTTTCTCCAAGGCCTATACAAAAATTAGAAAAATGACAAATAGCTTTCTGTTATTAAACATATTTACTATAGTTCTCAATTTTCTTGGAACATATTCTGAAATTAAAAAGTAATCACACCCAAGTCTTTTGGCCACGTAAAACGGTTTCTTAGTGACAATCAGAATTTGTGGACTTCTTTGCAACTCTTCGAGAACTATATATATTGCATAATCCATGGCATTTAACAGCTGAAACATTAGAGATAAGTTAAGTGGACTGAAGAGGTGCCACAGAAAGATTTTGAAGCAGATAAGGGCAGTTTTAAGAAGATTTCATCCCATTACACTGGTCTTTTGCATTAAGCTTAGCATGTATATCAACGCATACCGATCTTAGAATGCATTTGATGTCCCATATAAACATTTTTTTCATTCTGACTGAGCCTACCCTAGGTACGACATATGAGACAACTTCCTGTTCCTGCTCAAACAATCAGCATACTCATAAAATGTGCATTATCAATGTCTTCTAGCATATTTCTATGAACAATAGACTATCCTCATTCTTGTTTCAAAATGCATAATCAAATATTTCTTACAATAATGCCCCTTCTAGGCATCTGCCTAAAAGCTGAAAGTTCGAAATTACCTAGGGAAAGGGAAGAAGGAAAGAAGAAAATGAAAGTTTGGTGACAGAAAGAGAGGGAGAGAGGAAAATGCTGAACATTGCAAGGAAGCAAAAACAACTATGTCAAACTGAAGGCGGCAAGTTCAGCAAGTATATGATTGCGAAATCAACATAATTAAGAGTAAATGGAGCACAGTAGAAAATGAAAAAAATAAGAAAAGAGAGTGAAAGCTGAAAAAGCCTCCTGTTGATTGAGAGACATCGTTCGTCAGCTCTGGAACCCTATTTTAATTAAATCATAAACTATCTGCTCTCTATATAACTATTTTCCCCCTAATAAACAAACATATCTAATATTAGATATGGGTGAAACTGCAAGTCTGTAACACCTTGGTCCAGATTCAGATGTTTCCGAGTATTAGAAGATCCAGGCCTAGTTTTTGCACAGGTAACTGGGTAATAAATTATCACATTGGAATCTAATGAATGAGATGGCAAATCATATGAAAAAATTGGACATAAGCATAATAGAGCACTATTCCTATAAGGAAGCAACATAGCATACCACATAGTAGAACTCATATGAAATTAATGATCCAAATATGAGCATGATCAGCACAGCCCATATTGAATTACCAATACTTAGAACAATATCTAATCTCAAGCTTGATTTACTTGATCAGAATTTTGAGTATAATTCCTAGTGAATAAGTGAAGTAAACTTTTAGTGAACAACCAGCTCCCTTTAATATCCTCCTTCACTCTCAGAGTTTACATAAGACAATTTCAGGCAAAGAAAAGTCTGCCCAACTAAGAAATGAAATAAAATATAAAAATTCAGGCCACTCTAACCACAATTAATATGTATTATTAGAGAGGCTTAAGTGTCACACCAATGGTAAAAAGAGACCTATAAACTTAGAGGACTCTCCCTAGAACAAGAGGCTAGTAGCATAGAAGATTATGCAAATTCATCAAAACCTCTAGCTAAAAACTGATCTCCTTCAAGTGCAATAAGAGTGATATCACCACCTCAGGTACCTCAGTGGTGTTATATATATGCTACTGTAGACAATGACATTACAAGACAACCTTGAAAAGGCATGCAAAACTTCAAGTCAATCTACCTTTTGGTACCCAAGGTTTAGAATCTAGGTCTGATGCCCGATATCAGTCAATGGCTTGATCAGCATAATTATGGTACAGACAAACATACTACCATTCAGTAAACGTCAGTGTCATCCAGACCAAGAGAAAGAGGGAGAGAAAAGGGGAGGGGCAGAAAGATAAGAGAAGGAATTAGGGAGAGGAAAAGGTGAAGGAGGATGTGATGGAGGAGGAGAAGAAGAATAGCAATGAGGTGACAGTGAGGAGGAGGAACAGGCAGAGGATGAGGAGGGAGAGAAAGATACACGAAAGCAAGAGAAAGGGAGAGAATGTGTGAGAAGAGAGAAAGGAAAAAAACAGAAGAAAAGATGACAGCTATCAAAAGCCTATCATGCAAGATAAATATCAGTCGTTTGTGTACCGAACCATGGTTGTACTAGTAAATACCAGTCAATACCAATCGATGAATTTAAAAAAAAAAAACCTCGGTGGTGTCTACTAAACAAAGCTTATGTTACACAGCTAAAAGAAAAAATGGGAAAAAAATACATGGATGAGAAATATAATCAGAACGAAGCACGAGGCACATAAGTGTATGATCTGAAATTACAACTGAAATATGAGAGGATAGCTACCTGAAAGTGAGAACTGTTCAAGCAGCGAGCAATCTGGCGAAACAGTGGAACCATACATCGCTGGAAATCTGCAGGCTGAGTTGCTTCTAGGACTTCTTCTAACTCTCCCAAGAACATTACTTCCTTTGAACTATTTGTGATAGGCCAGTATTTCAACAAGCCCATTATAACAGTATCCGCAAGTTTGCAGTCCTTTTCAATAAATTGAGTTATGCAATATGATAACTGCTGATGATACATAGCAATGCACCTTGGCTTGTGCAGTGGGATTAGTGCACGAAGAAGGAACAATTTATGCTCTTCCTTTAGTGGCAAAGCAAATCCACTGATGACACTTCCCAAAATTTCCAGTAGCTCTGCAATCCCATTGTGCTTTTCTGTTTCAAAGATAAACCGATAGAAAATGTTGTTAATAGCTTTCCTGATGAACGGTCGGTGCACCATAAATTTACCATAGATTCGATGGAGTATTGTTTTTAGGTACTCCCTCTCTCTAGGATCTTCAGAATCAAAGAGATCGAGCAGCTTAAGAACAAAGGAGTGATCTACATATCTTTTTGCCAACTTAGCATCAGTCTCCGGAGATGCAACAAAACGTAGAAAGAACTCATAGACAATCTGTAAGTGAGGCCACGCGGGGTCCATTACAGGTTCCTCCTCTTCTGCATCAATTTTTTCCAGAATCATGTTCTCTCGAGGCGGGGAAGTCAAGGTCCTAAACAAGTTGACGGACACCATCTTTGCAATCTCTTGCATGACATTCTCTGGAAACTTCCCAGATGATGAAGTCACATAGTCAACAAGCTCTAACAATGTCTGTCGCTTTATATCTTTCTCTTTCAGGTTCTTTGATGGGTCAGTGAAGTCAAACACAACGCAGCAAAGGTCCAACTTTCGCATAAATAAACTCTGTTTCTCAGAATTAGGGACATCTTTAAAGCTCGGCAATGCTTCAAAGACTGGGACCACATTATTGCCATTCAGCTTTACATTAACAGCTGGATCATACTTGTTTTGGTGATTTAACCCAGGACTCAATCCAGGAGGGGCCTGACTGTTCAGATTTGTGATCCTACTGGCTTGCAAATCCCCATTTCTTGAACTGGTCGAAGAAGATGACGACTGAGGAGTTGGTCCACCAACTGAATCCCGACTGTCTGATGACTTTGATGGCTTTCGAGGGAGCCGGTTTAGTATCTGCTTAATCATGCTTGACTGCAGGTAATTGAGTTGGACAATAAAACAGAATTTGATGCCTTAAGAATGTTTCCTAAATCGTTTATAAATAATTGATTTTGAAGGCAAACGCTGCTCCTAGCCTCGTACTCCTTCCTCAGCAATTTCCCATGGGATAACTAGACCAATTTTTTGACAAGTTTCCATACAAGTTCCATATTCAGGAGAAAGATGACGTTTTTTCACCTAAAGACAAAGTTCCCCCAAGAAATCCACGATTATAAGGAAATTTTTCACATGCAAAGATGCAACATCAAGCACAGATCAAACAGGAAACCTGAAATTGTACCGTTCCGCGGTGCCGCTTTTTCTAATACAACCAGACTTCCGTCTCCTGTCCAAGCAAACAAGATCACCTCATAGCCAAAATCGACCGCAAGAAATGACTCGATCAAGAGAGCTAATTTTCCCGCCCGCCCCCAAATCGAAGCCGATTCGGATGACCGCACCAATCCGGAAGCGATCTGGAGGGATCAAGACGGGGATTTTGAGCGAGAATTAAAAAGAAGGTGCGCCGAAGAACGAATTCGAAGACGAACAACAGTGAAAACGAAGGCCATTTCCCAATCGACGGCCAATTGCAAAGAGAGACAGAGGATAGGGGTTAAAAAAAAGCTACCTCTTTTTTGGGTGATCGAAGGAGCGGCCTCTCCTCCTCCCGATCGGCCGTTGCCGCTTGCCTATTACGAGGACAAGAAAAAGGAGAGAGAAAGAAAAAGAGGAGGACGCCGATGATGCTGATGATGATGATGATGAGCAGAGAGAGATGGAGAGACTGGAAACAAACGACAGAAAAAGGAAGGCCGCCCCCCTCTATCTCTCTCTCTTCCCTCTCGCGTCTCACTCGGTTTCTGATCTAATTGTGAATCGAGCCAATTTGTAGGACCATGCGAAACACCCCGACACATGTTTGCTGAAATGCTCGTCTTTGTGCAACGAAAAAGTCATTCATGGCGAACCAATGGGCCTCTCACTCGTCTCATCGGCTCCGCTATTATTAGTCTAATAAACAGCATATACAAATATAAACATTTTCGTAATAACACGTTGGAAATTGATCGTAAGAGCATCAACACTACCACGTGGCACATATGACCACGTCAACGAGAGGCACGTGATCAGGGCGTGTCGGTTCGTATCACCGGTGGGCTCGACTCGAACCTGACCCAATCTACAAAGTGCATCGAATTGAGCCCAACTCACGAACCAAAGTGAGTCGAGTTCGGTTGACCCGGTCGAGTCAAGTAGAGCTGCAGAACCATTCGTCGCGTTGACCTCTCGAAATCAAGGATTTTGCTGACGGTGCACTGCTTGGTCAACGCAACTTAAACGAAGTCATGGCGATTTCTGTGGTCAAACCCCCCGAGTTTGACTACTTCGGTGGCTTCTCCCACATGACACGGTCAAATGGCGTGCGACCTCGGAGACAATAAGCTGTGCTCCTTTCTCCCACGAGCTTGGTTTCCGCGTCAATGGCGATCCAAGCTTGAACGTGAATCTTCACGTACTGCAACCACAATTCTTTGATCCATCCATTTCCGCCTCGGTTCAACTTCTTCCCCTCCTGGAAGAAACAAAGCTTTTGCTGAAACGCTGGCATCAACTCCTCCTCGGTGTCCATGGTTGCTCCACTCGTGTCGCAGCAGTTCTCTTCGCGCACGCAGTATATGAGATCCACAATAAAAGCCAAGGAGAGCGTTTGCATCCAGAAAAGGACTGCTTCTTAGATGAGGGTTCTGAGAACAGACGAGTTCCCTGGATTCAATGCAACTCTCTCTCTCTCTCTCTCTCTTTCTCAACGTCACCTGGGATGTCATCACAGGAAACCAAATGAAGGATAAGGGCAGCAAGGAAGCCATGATCCTGCAGCAAGTTTCAGGGTACTACTAACTGTTGCGGTGCACCAGAACTCAGACATCTGGCTTCACGGCAGCCACTTGGAGTAGAGGTTCGTCTCATGCAAGGGGGGTCTCCGCCATGACTTGGCCATGCAGCGAGCGACGGAGACGAGTCAAGTCGGGAAGACAAGCAGTCATAGTCATGACGAGCTGATAGGTGTGTTCTCTTCCCGAGTAATCTGATGGAATCTGTCATGGTGTTGTGGTATTCTTAAGCTCCTTATGGGGATATTCTAATCCAATAGAATTAACAGCACATAAGAATATTCACATTTGTAATATACACAGATTTGGATTATTGGGTGTTATAATTCCACTGCACTATTAACTAACATATAACAATAATATAATATAATATATAAAGTAGTATAACATAAACTTAAGCACCAAATAGTGTACAATACAGCACATAAAATAAAAATAAAAATGTATAAAATTATATTTCAAAAAATAATTTTAAAAGGTGAACTGATTTATATTGATTTTGTTGGATTCCAACAAATAAACCAAACTGGTCATGCAATTTTGACCCTTCCAATTTCAATTCTATTTGAAATTATAAACCAAATTATAAGTATTACATTGCTCTAATTTATGCTAATATTCTATTATTTCCCCATTTATAAGGTCTCACCTTTGTCATATACAAAGATATTAAGATTTGGATTAGTGGGTGTTATAATTTCAATACAATTATCAATATTTATATTTTCATTTTGATACCTAAGCTTGCATATAACATAATATGATATGATACATAAAGGACTAAACTTAAGCACCAAATAATGTAAGATACAACACATAAAATAAAAACAAATATGAAAACGAATATACAATAAATATATGTATATATATAATTTATATTAATTCTATTGGATTCTAACAAAGAAATCAAACTGGTCAATGGAATTTTGACCATTCCAATTTCAATTCTATTGGGTTTCCTTCTCTTACCTCAACTCGCCTGCCTATTTATGGGATTGGAGGTCTCTCTCGTAGTATATCGACCTACCTTTCGTGTTGGTGCTGTCCTCCATGGCGCCGTCGGACGAGCAGCGCCGCAGCCAGAAGTCCATCATCCGCTCCCTGGACAAGCGCAGCAAAGGCCTCTGCAAGAAGGCTACCGAGCTCTCCACCCTCTGCAACGCCGACGTCTGCCTCGTCTGCTACCGTCCCGGCGCCACCGCCCCGGTCGTGTGGCCCGAAGACCCCACCCGTGTCGGCCGCACCATCGGCCGCTACCTCGCCGCCTCCCCCTCCAAGAAGCTGGCCAAGAACCAGGTCAGCTTCAAGAACCCCAACCCAGGCCAAGCCCAAGAAGCCGTCACGAACAACGACGACGACGACGATGAGGAGGAGGAGGAGTGTAAAGAGGCCAAGGCCAGGAAGGGCAAGAAGAAGGTGGTGGATACAGAGGACAGTCTCCGGTTACCATGGCCGGACGACGATTGCGCGCTGGGGTCTCTGGTGGAGGCGTTGGACTCTAGGCTGAAGAAGGTGAGGGACAGGATCGAGCAGCTGGTGGCAGAAGACATAGCGTCGACCTCGACGGCACCGGCACCGCAGGATAAGTACTCGACCGCCACAGGAGGCGCCTCCACAAGCTGCAGCGCTTATAGGGAACCGCCGGCTCCGGCGTTCGCAACCGTCTGCCCATGCATGTACTGCCCTCTGCACGGGTACTGGGCCATGCGACGTCTGCATGGCCAAGACCAAAACCGAAGGGAAGACAGGAGTTGACCGCAAGCCAAGAGTTGACTCAATCATCATAGTTAGTTACCGGAGCTAATTACATATTATCCCTATACTTAGATCCTATTGATATTATTACCCCTATACTTAGATCCTATTAATATTGTGATATCAATATTTAAAATTTTAAATTAAAATTTTTTAAATTTTTAAAATTTTTAAAATATAATAAATAATTTAATTTATCGTAATATCACGAAAAAATGGAATGACATGAAAAAAAAGATGAGTGTAAATGTAATTTTGATATTTTTTTATTTTTTTTTCTCAATACAACTGACTATATCAGAATAAATAAGATTATTTATTTTACTTTCAGAATTATAAAGATCTCAATATAATTTTTTTTAAAAATATAATGGTCCTAATATTAATAGGATCTAAATATAAATAATAATATATAATTAGCCCTAATTAAGTGAATTGGAGGCATTTATGTGTCTGCCTCATATTAATTTTGTTTCCTGGAAACTGTAGTAAAGAACATGAAATATATATTATTAAGGAAGATGTTAACTTTTGTGTTGCTTTTGTATTAAGAATATGACAATAAAAATCAATGAATTATTGGCAATAATCTTACATAATCGAATCATAAAAATCCGAGCCCGAATGGGTCGAGTTCGACTACACCGAATGCATTATTATTTTACTTGTAATAATATGATAAAAAGTATTATTTTTATTATTGAAATACTTTTTTTATAAGTGACAATTGGGGGTGTAATGTGGGCTTGGCCATCAAAAGTCAACATCGAACCCAATTTGCCATAGCAATGGCGTTATATGGGCCGGCCCAATAAGGCCCAACTCATGATTATATCCACATCCTAAAAATCTTTCTTACTTTCTATTTTTCCCATATTTCATTTGATTCAATTGATTACAATACACATTTACGAGTAATCTTTTGGATACTTAAAAAAAAATCTCTAGAGAACTTAACACGTGAATATCGAAATGGTACATAACAACAAAATTTATTTTGTAAGATCGAAAATATTTCTATAATTTAGAGAATATTTTCTTAGACGATAATACATAGGAAGCTCGATTATAAATATTATATTCTCTCTTCTCTCTCCCCTTCTTCGACACTCTCTTAATATTTAATCTTAAGTTTTATCAACTCGTGTGTCGGAATGATTGAGTCAAAAAACCAATCTTGTTTGGTGATCAAATCTTATAATATAATAGATTATGAAAGGGACACATCAATCTCACATCCACGACATTAATAGAGTGGTTGGATAATCACACACCAATCGATGATACCCATTTATTGTTGACTTAATCATGCAATTTTAATATTATATTTATTATAAATAATTCATATAGATCAACATGGATATATTTATTTATTTATTCATTTGGTTTTAATTATTAAAAAAATAAAATATTTCATCAATATTTAAACTCAAATCATTACGAGTTTTAAAGTAAAAAATCATCACACCATACAATCTATTTATTTTATTTTTATTTTATTAAAAAAAAGCTAGTTTTAAACGTTGTGATTTCGATTTATAGGAATCAGAATCAAACCGTATGGCCCCATTTCGGTTCAAAACTATTAAATCATCGACCGGATTCGGATTCGGATTCGATTTCGATTTCAATTCGGCATCCACCAACCCATATGTTCAAACGCAACGTGACGTCGACGAAGCTGGCAGCTGACGTGGGAGGCTTACGTGATCGAACCTGTCCTGACGTGTCCACGTTTCCAGGAACGTTTCTGGGTCAACGATTCGTCCCGCTATTCGGCATTATATTATGACTTCATCTTCGACGTAGCCTTGTCTACCTGCAGTTCATCGGATAAGCTTGGGTTTCTGGAAAGACGAAGAAGTCTCCATGCACCGAGTCGCCTTGTTTGCTAGCGCGGAGGTTAGCACGCCAACCACAGTAGTCTTCTTCTTCTTCCTCATTAGATAAGCATGCAGGCAGCCACTGCCACCGTTGCTTGTCAACGAATATATTCCCACATCAAGAATCATGTTGATGATGCTAATCGTCATCAACAACAGCTATCGATGGAGAGAGAGAGAGAGAGAGAGAGAGAGAAGTGTGCGTGTGGTGTGAAGGAGAAGGAGACCGAGAACAGTGATGTGTGTGTTATGAGAGGGATGCTATGTCGACACTGTGTGTTCATCTCCATCTCTCTCCCGTAATTTGACTGCAGAATTGTATTGATGTTTCTGTGGAATGTGTGTACTTTGGGTGGATTAGATAGAGATGATCAAGTGGAACAATGAGGACATTGGCAGCAGCTATCCTTTTCTTGTATGCGTGGATTTTAGAGTGGGATGCTGAGAGCATTAGAAGCTGATATGTTGAAGCTGATATCTCTCCTTAGGGCTTCGAGTCCGCATATATATACATAGAATATTTCAACAATGTCCTACTTGACTAGGTGGGAATTGTCGTTCAACGCAAGCCATCCTCCACGTGTTTTGATTGGTTGGGCTCAATGAAAACTGAGTTATCGAGAGATCGATAAAATAATATTGAGTCCGACATCAATTCAATCCAAAAACTTAAACTATTAAGTTGTGTGAATCTAATTCGTAACTATTCTTTTAATTCTATTTTCGATTTTTCTTAGTGTAAGCTGATGAAAATAATAGAAGATAAAAACAATTAATGAAGAAGCTTTATTGAAGAAGTGAAAAAGCTTTGTTGAAGAAATGAAAAATGCTTCAATACATTAACTTCCTCTCATATTTATAGAGAAAGGATTTCCCTCAACATAATAGAGAGATTTCCTCGGAAATCTTATCTTCGCAAAGAATGGTTTACAAGCGGTGACTTGCGTAGTTTCGCTTTTCTCAGTGACGTTGGTCGCTGGCCAAAGGCAAGAGCGAAACTTCGCTTTTCTCAGTGACGTTGGTCGGCCAAAGGCAAGAGCGACACTGCTCTGAAGATAAAAACAATTACTTGAAGTGAAAAAGCTTTATTGAAGAAATAAAAAATGCTTCAATACATTAACATGCTCCTCAACAGAATAAAGAGATTTCCTTGGGGAAATCTTATCTTCTATCATAAACGAGAGAAAGGGGAAACTAACTAACCAAGATTTTTTCATGGTTTGATTGACTATCATTTGATTATTAGAATATATATGGTTGAAATCTAATCGATAATGGTAAGTATTTAAAAGACATTTTGTTTGATTTGATTTTAATAATTATATAATCAAAATTTTATAATTAGTAAGTATTAATATTTATCGATCATTATTGTAAGGCAAAGATTAGGTAGCAACGAAAACACCACTTATAATAATTTGCATTTATGAATTGACTAATTGAGACTCGATGTTACGTATGGAATCAAATCAATGCTTACTAATTTATATATCATATCAGATTTAAAGATGACTAAAAGTTTGTTGGATATGCCAATAAGCAACAAAATTAAATTAGATTTTAGTTTAGAACTTAATGATTCGATCTGATGGGATAATTGATATATTATCTTTGATGAGTCTAAAATAAAATACAATTCATTGCTATTTCTGACAGCACACGTTGACGTATCCGATGACGAATCGTCGCCAGGATGGCATCAGAGCGGCACGTGTGCCGGTCCTCGTCATCCTTACATGCATGCAATAGTACTCCACTTTAATTTTCGTGCGTGAACGAGTCGGAACTTACCATTAATATACAGAGAGTTTGGATCCGAGTCGAAGAAGAGCACAGATTTAAACTAATTGACCTGTTGAAACTTTCGATTCGCATTGGTACGACTCCGTATGATACCAAAATCACTATTCGAATTTACTACTAAGAGGGCGGCATTGAATCCCGGGATTCCGTGCACCACGGGATATCACACGATTTGGTTTCCCCTTATGTGCATCTCCATATATAGGGGAGTCTCCATGTATCACACGATTTGGTTTCCCCCTGCCGTCGTCTCGCAGAGTTGTCTGTCAGACCTGATCTTGTTCTCGTCTTTCTCCTTTGTCTTTCTTCGGATTAAACTTGCATGAGGTCTCCATGAACACATAGGTGAGGCATCCGTAGATTCCTCTGAACCTTGTGCCGAGGAGGGCAGTGGGATGGGATCTGGTGCTTTGTTTGTTCGTCAAGGACAACCACTGAGAGGGAGAGGATGCATGACAGCAGTATAAATAATGCCCTGAGAGCAGCTTCTCCTTGTTGAACAGCGAGGCTTTCTGGTTTCCGAAGCTTGTCTACTTACTTCTTCCATGGAGATGATGCTTATGGATTACCTTTACGTGGTAATTTTCTCGCTGCTGTTCGCTTGGATTCTTCTGGAGTTTGTAGGATCAAGGAAGAGCTCCCAAAAGGCCAATCCGGAGCTCGAACGGTCGCTGCTGTCAGATGAGCACGACGGTGTCGGCGGAGATGGCTTCACCGTGGCTGGGCACTGGAGCCGCCTCACGTTTCGCTGGCTGAATCCGGTCTTTGAGAAGGGACGAGCTGAGAGGCTCGAGCTCTCGCATCTTCCCGGAGTTCCTCCGTCCGAGACTGCGGAGAGCTCCTTCTCCTTGTTGCAAGAGTCGCTGCGAGGCCAGAAGCCGTGGTCAACCGCGCTTCTGGGAGTCGTCGTTCGAGCAGTTTGGCGGCCTTTGGCTTTGAATGCCGTCATCGCTGGTACAGAAACCTTCACATGCTATGCACTAGCCAACCTTCTCTTCCTCTGATTTGACCGCGTTCAGAAGGAACGTGTTCTGCAGGAATCAACACGTTCGCATCCTATCTTGGACCTCTCCTGATCACCAACTTCGTGGGATTCATCTCCGGAGAAGATTCGAGCGACGGGCTGTACAACGGATACGGACTGGCTGCTCTGTTCTTCCTGGCGAAGACGGTGGAGTCACTGACGCAGCGGCAATGGTACTTCGGCGCACGCCAAATCGGCGTGCGAGTTCGAGCAGCGCTCATGGTTGCCATCTACAACAAGTCTCTCGCGATCAAGCACGCCGGCGCCAGCACAGGAAAGATCGTCAATTTTCTCGACGTGGACGTCGAAAAGATCGCTGACTTCTTCTGGTACATCCATGGCGTTTGGTTGCTCCCCTTGCAGGTCACCCTGGCACTGCTCATCCTTTACAGAAACCTCGGTGCGGCAGCCTCGTTCTCGGCGCTCGCCGTGACGATCCTGGTGATGGTGAGCAACACGCCGCTGGCGAATCTGCAACAGAGGCTCCACTCTAAGATCATGGAAGCGAAGGACGGGAGGATGAAAGCCACAGCAGAGACATTGAAGTGCATGAGAGTATTGAAACTGCATGCTTGGGAAACAGCTTACTTGAACAAGTTGCTCGAGCATAGAAATGTGGAGAGGAGTTGGCTCAGGAGATACCTCTACACATGCTCCGCCATTGCCTTCCTCTTCTGGGCGTCTCCCACTTTGGTTTCAGTCGTCGCCTTTGGTGTCTGCATACTCGTGAGGGCACCCCTGACCGCCGGCACGGTGCTCTCAGCTCTGGCCACGTTCAGAATCCTGCAAGAACCAATCTACAATCTCCCAGAGCTGGTCAACATGATCGCACAGACCAAAGTCTCGATCGACAGAATCCAGGACTTCATTAAAGAAGAAGAACAGAAGCGGTTGAAGCCAAGCAACCAATCCGAGACCTCAGACATCGGAGTAGAGATCGAGCCGGGGGAGTACACCTGGGAAGCTGATTCCATGTCGAGAACACCCACACTGAAGATTGAAAAGAAGATTCATATCATGAGAGGAGAAAAGGTCGCGTTATGCGGGGCTGTTGGATCAGGAAAATCCAGCTTCCTCTGTAGCATCATAGGAGAGATTCCATGGATTAGCGGAGGAAGAGTTAGTGTCTTAGGATCGAGAGCATATGTTCCTCAAAGTGCTTGGATCCAAACCGGAACAATACAGGAGAACGTATTGTTTGGGAAGGAGATGGACAAGAGATGGTACAGGGAAGTGATGGAAGCTTGTGCTTTGGATAGAGATGTTGGAGCATGGGCGGATGGGGACTTGACTGTGGTAGGAGAGAGGGGAATTAATTTGAGTGGAGGGCAGAAGCAAAGGATTCAGCTGGCCAGAGCCATCTACAACAATGCAGATATCTACTTGTTGGATGATCCCTTCAGTGCTGTGGATGCACACACCAGGAGACACCTCTTTAAGGTATGAGCATGTTGTTTTTTGAGTGAAATCATGGTAGGTATGACAGGTTTGGTTATCTGATCATATAACTTTGTCATTTTGACTAAGATTTCAATTGGGTAACAACTAATCACAAGAACTTAGGCTATTAGGAAAAAGTTTAAGACGATGATTTAGTCGACACAAGAACCTAACTAAATTTAAAGAGTGCATATACAAACTCATGATCTGTTTTGATACCATGATAAAATTTTCACCTGATGATCAGAATTCTCGAAAGCCTGAATTTTTAGGGAGATGATCAATTTATACTTGGAACTCTCACAGTTTTAACTCTGCATTATCACAAAATGGTGATTAGATGGCCATAGCCAAATTGATTTGAGATAAGAAAATTCCAGTGTTCTTATCACACTCACTAATTGGTCCATACAACTGCAAGGATATTGCAAAATCAGGAAATATATACAAGGCAAAGTCCAGGAAATGATGGTCTGGTGATGATCTCTGTAGAATAGAATTTCAAAGAACATCCAGGTTTTTCAAATCAGATATCAAGTATAAAGTGGTTCTTCCCTAAAATTCCACCACTTCTTCATGAGTTTTTTTCAACAATTTTTTCATGGTTTCAAGATGTTCGATTATATTTTAATAGATGATCTATTGATTTTCCAAAGATGGAGTATCTGACAAAAAGCTAGGGCTTGTGTGCAGGAATGTTTGATGGGGCTTCTGTCCGGTAAGACGGTCATTTATGCCACACATCAACTGGAGTTCATAGATGCAGCGGATCTTATCCTGGTAACCTCAAAAATTTCTATATTCATTCCAGTTAAAGCACATAATATTGGGTAAATTTTCTTCGATAGTTTGATCGGCTTATTATATGCTAGTGAAAGCCTGCTACTAGTGTAATTAATAGCGTGAAACAGTTGCTGTAACAGTGCATTTTGTTTCATGGTTAAGTATAAGTCACTAGACAACAACTCATCATGATCCATGGGGATAATATTTATGATTATAATATATAGAGAAAAATGTGAAGCAGAAGAAAAGCTTGCAGTGATCTCATACCTGATAATGAAGACTAAAATTTATTTCCTTCACCAACATTTTTCAGGTCTTGAAAGATGGGAAGGTGGTTCAATCTGGTAAGTACGAAGATCTGATGATGGACAGCAATGGAGACCTTGTTCAGCAAATAGCTGCACATAATCAATCATTAAGCCAAGTCAGTCCATCAAAAGAGCACAGTTCATCAATAACCACAAGACACAGGATGAAGCAAGAAAATCATGTAGAAGTAAAACTCTTTGATCAAAGCAAAGTCTCCAAACTTTCAGAGAGATCATGTGAAGAAGAAAGGGAATTTGGACGGGTGAAATGGCATGTCTACCGTACCTTTGTGACTTCAGCATATAAAGGGGCTTTTATTCCAGTACTACTGTTCTGTCAAGTTCTCTTCCAGGGTCTACAGATGGGCAGCAACTACTGGGTTGCCTGGGCAACCGAAAAGGAAGATCGAGTCAGTAGAGAAAAATTGATTGGAATTTTTATTCTACTGTCTGCCAGCAGCTCAGTGTTTGTATTAGGAAGGGCAGTTTTGCTTTCAACCATTGCCATTGAGACAGCTCAGAAGCTATTTGTTGGAATGATAACAAGCATTATTAAAGCACCAATGTCATTTTTTGACTCAACACATACCAGCCGAATTCTTAACAGGGTCAGTACCTAATGTTTCTCCTATTATTGCTCCTGTTTCAGAAGGCAAAGTAGTTATCACAACATATCTCTTCATTAGTACAGCAAGATTAACAGTATTTAGTGTACTTCGATTTACCTCTAAGAGCTTTGATAGTTTCAGAAACTTGCAGAATATCATGCAGTGAATTTAACAACCTTACCCTTTTTCAGTCTTCAACAGACCAGAGTACTGTTGACACAGATATTCCATACAGAGTGGCGGGATTGGTTTTTGCACTTATTCAGCTTCTGTGCATCATTATTCTCATGAGTCAAGTGGCATGGCCAGTATTGATTCTCTTCATTGTTGTATTCACAATCTCCATCTGGTATCAGGTAAGTGAAATGACGATCCTGTAAAATTTGCAGTGTTAACATGTATAAGAAATTATCCATTGCCATCTTTTACAGGATCTCATTAGATAAGGTAAATAATATGTTATAAAGAGAAAGAAGTGAAAAAAAACATTTTTTAGAGCATAATGTTCACCTTTGCAATTTTTGTTATTGTCTAATATACCCAAACATCATTGTTTATTCAATCAACAATGGTCTGCCGTTTCATAAAATGTCTAGATGGCTAATTCCTCTTTCTTGTCTTCCTATCCTCCTGCCCTTTTGTATACCTGTTTCTTTTTTTTCTCTGACTCCACATACTTTATCTTCTTGTCGGTTTCAAATCCTTTGTAAAATAATAAAGAACATTAACTAATCTTGTAAATAGAGATTCCTAAGCCCCTCAACTTGTTCATTGTGGCATTCACACTTCTGATCCTTCTACTAGACCAAAACTTCCATTTTGTAGTGCATAAGTGTATTGCTCATAACTTTATTAGCTTTCAGTTGTTCTCTGTCTAAAGGGTCACTGACTGATTGCAGAATTACTACATCAGTGCTGCTAGAGAACTAGCTAGAATGGTTGGAATTCAAAAAGCTCCTATCCTGCATCATTTCTCTGAATCACTTGCTGGAGCTGCTACCATCCGCAGCTTCAATCAGGAAGAGCGCTTTCGTAAAAGGAACCTCACCTTGATTGATGACTATTCACGAATTACCTTTCACAACTATGCAACCATGGAATGGCTCTCGGTTCGAATCAACTTTCTGTTCAACCTAGTATTCTTTGCAATGCTAACCATCTTGGTGTCCATGCCCAGAAATACTATTGATCCCAGTAAGTTCTATTCAAGTATCACGATAGTAATTATTTTGGGTGGTATGACTACAGAGAAAATGCCTAACTTGATTTTATCTCAGGCCTTGCAGGACTTGCTGCAACATATGGCTTGAACCTAAATGTACTACAGGCATGGGTTATATGGAATATCTGCAATGTGGAGAACAAGATGATCTCGGTAGAGAGAATTCTGCAATTCTCAGCCATACCTAGCGAGGCTCCTCTGGTAATTGAGCATTCCAGGCCAGAAGAAAACTGGCCCACATCTGGAACCATTGAACTCGATGATCTCAAGGTTCGTTACAAACCTAATCTTCCGATGATCCTAAAAGGGCTCAGTTGCACTTTGCCTGGAGGGAAGAAAATTGGAGTCGTGGGCAGGACAGGAAGTGGGAAATCGACACTCATCCAAACTATTTTCAGAGTAGTAGAACCAACATCAGGAAGGATAGTGATTGATAGCATAGATATTAGCCGAATTGGTTTACATGACTTGAGATCTAGGTTGAGTATAATACCACAAGAACCAACACTTTTCCAAGGAACTGTGAGAACAAACTTAGATCCTTTGCAGCAGCACCCAGACTCCGAAATCTGGGAGGTAAAGAACTAATAATGCTTTGTATTTATTTGTTATTTTATGAAGTTAGCAGTTGACTGAAGCAAACTCTTCCAGGCACTCTACAAGTGTCAACTTGGAGAGATAGTAAAACAAGATCAGAGACTGCTTGATGCACCAGGTAATTTAATGTCTATATGCAAATGCATTCAAGTTCCTTACAAGTTTTGATCAACTAGTAAATCAACTATATTGTTTATTTCTCAAAAGGAACAAATCAACGACATGAAGAATTATAAAAACCATTCCAAGAAGCACTTAAGTGAACTCATCAAATTGTTGCCGGGTGACATTTTACACATTTTTTGTTCGTTTTAGGCAGTTAAAAGTTGCAGTGTGTTAAAAATACGCTTATAATAAACTTAAAAAAACACAACTGTTGAACTTTGTAATATTACTTTCCTTTTCATCGGACATTCATGCTGCAGACCTATTGTTCCACAGCATACATCAAGATCATTACGAAAACTAGCTTAAAGTTTAGTTCCTTCTGTTTCTATGTTTGTCCTTCAGATAACATGAGACAGGAATTATGATACAGTTGCTGAAGATGGGGAGAATTGGAGTGTTGGGCAGAGGCAGCTTGTTTGCTTGGCAAGGGTGCTGTTAGACAAGAGGAGGATCCTAGTTTTGGATGAGGCCACAGCATCAGTAGACACAGCAACTGATAATTTTATTCAGAAAACTATCAGAGAAATAACCAATAACTGCACTGTCATTACAGTGGCACATCGAATACCCACCGTCATTGACAGTGATCTGGTTCTGGTTCTCGATGAAGGTAAAACTCAACAATGGTGAAAAAATAGGGTGTCTTTTCATGTCCAATTTTGAGTCTATAAGAAGTACAAAATGTCGATATTACTGCAAGTCTCATTTATTATATTTATTGTAATTCTCTATCTTTTTCTTTAAATTCATGGCACAAAACATCTAATCATCTCTTTTTGTTCGCCCCTGGTTGCAGGAAAAATTTTGGAGTTCAGTTCTCCTAAGGAACTTCTCAAAGATGAATCATCGGCCTTCTCAAAATTGGTGATCGATTTTCTTGGGAGGTCCAAGAGTAATCATGAATTAGAACTTGAATGAAAGCAACTAATAGGTGGTTAGTACACAAACATCAGAAGATTCTGCATTCATTCTGGAAATACAATCATCTAATGACATAGGAATTAACACCGATATACAGAGAAAAAAGTTGCTTTCTATAGGATACATGCACTAATATGTATAGTAACAGAGGAAAAAAACGGGAAGAAAGAAAGAGCGGATGGAAATTAATGGGACATGTTAATACTCTTCCAGAGTGTAAAAAACTAGTGTAGCATGCTTCTGCTGTCAGACCATACTTTTTTTATGCTAAGAAAAAGGTATCGTAGTACACAAAGCTACCTCCAATGTGGAATCGAAGGATGGTCAATGCATATAGTGTTACACTGCTAGTTATAGGTGCTCAGCAAGCATTATGATGTTCAATATAAAATACTTTATATTATATTGCTTATTGCATGCTAGTCATAGGTGCCTTCTAATATAAAATACTTTATATTATCTATTGCATATATTGTGATTTTCATGGATCTGTGTAATGAAAATCGGATCGTGATAAGATTATGATAATGAAACCGATTCGCGTTTAAACATGACTGGTGTGTTATATACCTGTCCATATGATGAAAACGGTTGGTCTCATAGTTGCTCGTGTGATGATACTAGGGATACCATGCAAGTGCTCATCGGAGAATGAGTTTACTGATTGATTCACTCATGGAATGTTGGATGGTTGGTGATACCTCATTGTCAGATAACGATTCAATCTTCCCAATGGTGTATCTGGTCCTTATTGAATCACGAATTTTGATGATGAAATTAATTGATATTGTTTATCTGATCTATATTTTAAGTGATGTAGGAAGTTTCGATTAGGGAGAGATAATTAAAGCAGGAAGAATCATGTTGGGTCAGAGTAGAACATATCAGACGATTGGATGCCGAGCCGGAGGATCGATCGATGTATCGACAGAAGGCCTTGGGCCATGGGATCGGGCATCGAGCCAAGAAGAGCAAAAATTACACCAAGAAAATCGGAGTTGCAGAGGTCAACTGGTCGATTGGGCAATAGACCGCAAGAGAGGACAATGCGTCGAAGAATCGTCAATGAACCAATGATATGCCGGACAACAATTGATTAGCTTAGTAATAATTGTCTAGATCGAAGTAGGTTTTAAGTATGCAGGATTAACTACGATAACGATCAAGGCATAAAGCAAAATGAAGTTCCGGAGTCAAGAACGAGATTTCGTTGGGAGTTCGTCGAAAGTTTGGACTTCCGTAAGAAGTTCTATCGGAATTGACCGAGAAGTCCAAGAGCTTGCCAAAGAAGCTTATCAGAACTCGCCAAGAAGATCGTCGTGAAGTCCAGGAGTTTGTCGGGAGTCCATTGGAACATTGTCGAGAGATCGTTGAAAGTTCGTTGGAAGTTCGCCGGAAGCTCGCTAGAAGAAACCTAGACTTATCAGATTTATTTAGCTTAGAGTATGCATTAAAATTTATAGTTAGCACATAATTGGGTTGGAATTGTGCCAACTCAATTAAGGGCCAATTGGGCCCAAGTTTGGATTGTGTTGGGCCAAATAAAATGCCCAAACAGTGACCCAACAGGTGGCATCATCGGTGGCACAGTCTCGGAGACTATGTGAGGTAGTGGTACCACCAGATTGGGCGGTGGTACCGCTCAGTGGCAGTGTCAGGCGATGGTACCGCCCAGACATAGTCTCCCAAGCGGTGGTACCGTCCAGTGTCAATGCTGTAGGCAATGGTATCGCCAAGACCCGAGAAACCCAGGATGAGACATTTTTTTGCTTCATTTTTTAAGCCAATTGGGGTCTATAAATACCCTACTATTCCTGCATGGAATAGCAAGAAAGTTGAGCAAAACTCTGTGATTCTAAAGTTGTAAACCTTGTTCGAAAGTTGAGTTCCCTCTTCCTAAATTTTAGAGAGAGTTTTAAGGGAGGTGTGTGAGGGATACCTTATAGAAGAGGGTTGTAAAAGGTTGTCTCATAAACCTGTGAAAAAGAGAAGAGGGGTGTAAAAGGGTAGTTGATCTTCGCCTATTGAAAGAAGATCATTAGTGAATGCCGATGGCCTCGACGGAAAAGGAATCGAGAGTGGATGTAGGTCATGACGACCGAATCACTATAAAATCTGATTTGCATTTATGCTTTGCTATTTACATTTATCGCAAACTGCCATACTTCCTCATTACTTTAGCTGCACACTTTTACGAACGTGTTTCAAGTTAACATATTTCCAAAATCGATTTTAATCGAACGAAAGATTTTCGAACCGACGTAATTTTATCCGCTGCACTAATTCACCCCCCCTCTTAGTGCCGACTCGATCATAACAGTCCTCAGACTTGAGACATCAAGGATATCTTGTATGAGTACTCCACTTTGATACCGGACTTATAGACCTAGAAGTTTTAGATCTAGCACAGTTGGTTATCGGGAGTGACAACCAACATTACGAGGGCTATTGAGTGTCGATAGAAGATCATCTACTCTCGGTGTCATAAGAGAAATATCTCATGTGTTCTTGCTCAAGCAAATCCCTGATTATGGTCATTCGGATTGAGAGAGAAAGAGTTCTCTAGGAGAATCCGATTAGAACGAGACTGAGTAGAAACTATATGAGTCTGATAGCACCATACTCGGTATACGATCTTTGGGATATTAAATGGATGAGAGACTATCGATACATGGTAATTGAGGACAAACAAGTCAAATGGATTGTATTCCCTTGTATTGTCCGAGGACTGCGGCGTAGTGGCCTAATACGTCTGTAGTTGATGAGTCGAGTGAATTATTATGAAGATAATAATTCACCCAGTCAGAAGGAGTTCTGACAGGTATGACTCACGGCCAACTCGATATTAGGCCTAGAGGGTCACACACATATGGTAAATGTTGCGACAAGTAGAAGTTCAAATATGCGATATTCGCTGGAGCCTCGATCTTATTGGATATCGAATAAATCCCTAAATTATTGGATCATATGGATGAGATATAATAAAAGCCAATGAGAGATTATTGGGTAGAGATCTACTAATCTAAGAGGCTTGGGTAATTGGATAGAAATCCAATACCCAATAAGGCAGGATCCATTATGGTTAAGTCAATAGTGAGCCTTTATAAATATAAGGGAATCAAAGGGCCATAGACTAGACCCTTTTTGGCTGCCACCTCATATTCTCCTCTCCCCCTCTCCTCCTTAGCCAACAACCCCTATTTGGGTCATGTGGATAACAAGAAGGGTCTTCCCTTTCTTGATTGCATGGTGCACGCAACGAGGATATTTAAGTAGTGATTTGAGGAGCATCTTCGTAGCTCCTATTGCGTGGATCACTGTTAAAGAGGATAACAGTTGGCCTCCTTTATCCTCTCTCATATATTTGCAAGTTTTCAGGGATATATCATCTCCTTAGGTAACACACATCTCTTAACACACGTGATTTTTCGATTTTGTTGGTTTTTGTGTACCAATCTTGGCACGACGATGAAACTTTCTTTTCTGTCAAAAATTCTGAAATTTTTATTTTTTATTCTTCTGCTGCGCATATGATTGTTGCCTCAGATTTACCAACAACACTTCTCACAAAGAAATTACTTTCTTATCCTAAAACTACGTAGTCGGGTTGCAAAAAAATCAACTACTGCCCTGACACTACGATCTCATCAAAGTTTGTCTTTTCGTATAATAATAAATTTCTGTTGCTGAAATGATGTTTAAGATTTGGAAATTCAAATCCTAGAAAGAATCTCGAAGTTGCCAATTGACAGACATTCGAAGAGAACAAAATTGGAATAGCAAGTTTTCATCACATTGATCGATAAGTTTTTCTTAATTTCAAGGACAACTTCGTACAATAGATGTCGGGACAAGATGTAACCCCATTTTTAGGTAAATTCGCTACATTAGTGAAGCCAAGACAGTGAAACAACATGCAATGATACAGAGTAGTAGTACACTTATCCAGATATCCTTAATTTTGGGTCTAAAAAAACTTGTTTACAGTTGGCATAATCACAGAATACTTCTTCCATACAAATTTTCTCAAACCATGTTCTGTATACCTCTTTCTCAGCAAATTCAAACACTCCTGCAGCTCTTTTGTTAACTCTGTCGAGAGAGGCAAAATTATTTTATGATGCTATTCTTTTGTTTTTTCTTCAAATTAGTATTGATTTAAAAAGTGACAACAACCAATACTTCTTTTGTTGAGGAACAAGCAGAACAATCAAGAAGCTCTGTTACTGCTTATCCTTGAACATATAAATCAAAATGCAAGAGTACATTCAAAATCTGAAATTAAAATATACAATTTAAAGAAACTGAGAACAAAGTCAAGAATGCAATACCAATTGAAAAGGAAGAGAACAAGGCATCACTCGAACATGGAATAGAGCAAGGCCACTGAGATAAACAATGTAAATTAGCTGACAATATATCAATTTATGCCTCCTGTAAGTTTCAAAAAAAGACATTCTAACATAGACACCTAATTAGACAGTTTAGCAAGAAACAGAGATTGAAACTTTCTTTTAACCCTTGTACTTCAAGTGTAAAGCATGCACCATTTCAAGAAGTTCAAAAAGACTAGAAATGGACGCATACATACCTAACTTTGAGGGTTGGTGGAGATGTTTTGCACAACAACAGCTACACCATCTGCTGCAAAGAGTGGGTACACCTGCACATCCAAATGAAATAACATGACACTTTTGTCTTACCAAAAATATCCAATTTTGTTGTCCTAGCATTGCATACACACAGACCTAGGTTTTTGAATGCTGCAAATCTATCAAGTCTCTCAAGTGGCATAATGATCTCAACACAATTTAAAATCTGACACAGATGAAAACAACATCTCAAGCATCAAACAATGAGAAGTTTTTATTTTTGTTTCCCACTTGGACAAAACCACAAACAGTTGTCTGGCAACAGTTGGTTGTCGGAGATGTTGGGGAGCACCAGACATGGAGAAAGCTACTGGGGCTGCAAGCGGCTACAGAGAAGCTCAGACGGGCAGCCGGAACTCAGACGTGCCAAGGCTTTTCCCCTCTGATCTCATCCCATCGATGAGTCTGCCCAAATTTGAGCGACCCGAGAATGGTCCAACTGCCTCAACGGTGAGGAAAAGGGAGAGGTTGACACCAAACATGCTCTTCCAATTTGTGACACTAATACTGCTATACACGATTTTTTAGTGAAAAGTAGTCTGTAGTCTAAAAAAAAAGGATAATTTTCACAAAAACATAATTTGCTTATTACCTGACTTTATATATAAATATATACATATATATATATATATATACATATACATACATATATATATATATATATATATATATATATATACATACATATACATACACACACACACATATATATATATATACATATATATATACATACATACATACATACATACATACATATATATATATATATATATATATATACACACACATATACACACACACATATTTTAAGTTGTTAGATTGATGACTTCATTGTCCTAACCAACAATTATTTCAATAATCATCTTAAGAAAACCCTAATTTTAAATAAACATCAGTGAAGTATAATGAATATTACAATGGAATTTTTGGTAGATTTTTTAGAAAATATCTAGGTATTTTTCAATTGGTACCCGAATTTTATTTTTTTTAAAATAGTAATCCTAATTTAAAAATACTATAAAATGATCTAAATATATTCCTAACTTCAACCAAACTAACTATAAATATAAAATTATGATATTATAATATTCTATGAATAATGACAGCTAAAGAGGCATGATATGATGTCATTTATAATATTTTTTAATGATATTTATAGTAGTTTTAGTATAATAATAAAGTACTATAAATATTATTGAAAAATACTATAAACAAGTGAAATAAAAATATTGTAATAGTTAAAGATGATAATAATAATAATAATAATAATAATAATAATAATAATAAATTGATTAAAAACTTTTGAGGGGTATTTCAGATTTTTTTTTTAATTAAAGGTATTATTTGAAAAAAAAGATACCTTTTAGGAAATAAATAAAATATGAATATTTTCTTTAAAAAATAACTCCAATTTTTTTCAGTATTCTTGTGTTGTGTTATGTCATTACATAGTATAGCATATTATAGATCATCTTATATTGTATTACATCATGCCATGTCATACCACACATCATATTAATATATCATATCACATAACATTTATATACCTAAAAGGTCAATAGTGGGCAGTATCTAAAGAGCATTTTCCATGAGAAAGTGAGTTACCACCCTAAACTTTAGCTATTAGATAATAATAGGTTAGGCAGTCTTGTAGGTGTTAGTTCATGCCATATGTCACCGAACAATACCAACTCTGTATCAACTATCTCATTCCCTTATCAGATTTTAAGAAATTATTTTCCCATCAACAAATATTAAAGCCACTTGGTTCCTCTCAACCCCTCCACATTTCATCCCATATAAGCAAGATATTAATCTAATTTATTACAAACTTGATGATGATTAAGAAGAGACAAAAAAAGGTTGGTTTAAAATAAAAAAAAGGGTGATAAAATAAATACATGAAATAAAATAGAGGGTGCGCATCGGCTTTTGTTTACATGTTCATAAATTACTCGTTCACCTACCCGACTTAGGATTCGACGCAGTGTTTTTGTAGGACCCACAGACCTAAGAGAATGAGGGCCCCACCACCATCCGGTGTGGTTTTACATGGTTCCAGTGAACGCGTAGTGGCAGTCTCCGTATATATGTGCGAACTTTAGTGGCATTCATCTTATTCTAATCCCACGAACCCACCATTTCACGCCACGTGTCGCTCTTCGTGTTTGGCTCTACTACTTTTACAGAGGAAGTCGAGAAAGCTCTATAATAAGTACCTCGGAAACCTCTCCCACCTCGTCGCTCTCCGTAACCTCGACTCGTTTCGTCTCGAATCTTCACCTCCGATCGCCATGGGTACGTCACAGATTCCTTCCTATGTTCCTTGCGTGTTTCTTTTGATCTCGCGTGTTCTGCTTCTCTGTTCTAGTTTTGATTCCATTTCCTTTTTGTGTGGCAACTTGCTTGCAGCTAAGATCAAGATCGGCATCAACGGTTGGTTGCGCGTTTGTTTGATTCTTCTGTAGTTTTAGGATTTTGATCGGAGTTCGATGAGGTATGGGATCGATCTATGAGCTTCTTTTGGGTTTGATTCTTGGTTGTTGGTAGGTTTTGGGAGGATCGGGAGGTTGGTTGCTAGAGTCGCGCTCCAGAGCGATGATGTGGAGCTCGTGGCCGTCAATGATCCCTTCATCTCCACTGACTACATGGTACTTGTCCTTCTGTTCTTTCATGTCCATGTTATTTTCTGATCGTTTTGAATTCAGACATTCGCTGCTTTCAATTTTGATGGAACGGTATTGGATCTTTGAATTTTGTTGTTTATCCATTAATTTAACTGCAGATTATATGGATTTAGTTGTTTGAGGTTTCGTGATCCATATACTGTCAAAGTTTAAAGCATAAGTTGTTTTGCTTGAGCTCTGATGGGGTTGTTCATGGATCCGACTTTCTAAATTGAATAATGATTTGTAGACATATATGTTCAAATATGATACGGTGCACGGGAAATGGAAGCATCATGAGATCAAAGTGAAGGACACTAAGACTCTTCTTTTTGGCGAGAAACAAGTTACCGTCTTTGGCATCAGGTGCCTGTACTGCATTTCTCTTTTCTGTTAAAATTAACTCGTTAACACTGTGACTGCGTGTTTTTATTTTCAGTTTTTTGAACTATCTTAGTTGGTTGTGGTTCTGGTTAGGAACCCTGAAGAGATCCCTTGGGGTGAGACTGGAGCTGAATATGTTGTAGAATCCACAGGTGTCTTTACGGACAAGGACAAGGCTGCTGCTCACCTGAAGGTACTTGACGACTTTCATTTACTTTACATCAATTGTGTCATTGAAGTCAGATTTAACTGATGAAAAATGATTCTAGGGATTGCATAGGTATAGGATCTTTTTTCATGACTGGATAATAGTTCCTGTGCTTTGTGTCCTATGCTTGTGATGCATATGGACTGGATGGCTTATTAACAAGTTCAGCTAGAATTATAGATTTTATCCAATGAATTAGAGGTAAAGTTCTTCCAGACGAATTCATTTTAGGTCATGTCACCTCGCTTAGCTTTACTGACATCATCAGAATGCAACTCACCTCTCTTAGGTCTACATAATTGAAACATGATGTTCACCTTCACATGTAAATTTGACAACCTGGCTACTTGTTTAACCGTAAATTCATTTTTCATGGTGAATGAAATGCATGCTTTCAGAACATCTGAAAGCAAGGAGCTGAAACAAAAAACAAAAAATTGACCGTAGTTCAAAGCAACAAATTTATATGTTGGTGCTATGAGTATTGAAGAGTTTACATAATTTGTCTTCATGAATCTGATAGAAGTGGAGGAAGAGTTTCTATTTTAGTTTGAATTTCAGACTCAGTAGATTTGCTTCTTGTCACGTGGATGATTTTCCGTGTTTATAAACTAGCATTGTAAGACCATGATGAAGTTTCATTGGTGTATTGATCTACATACAGGGTGGTGCGAAAAAAGTCATTATCTCTGCTCCAAGCAAAGATGCACCTATGTTTGTGGTAGGAGTGAATGAGCATACATACAAGCCTGACATCGACATTGTCTCCAATGCTAGCTGTACCACCAACTGTCTTGCTCCTCTAGCCAAGGTAATAACTGCTTTTACCATTATGTTATAATTTGCTATTAGATGACGTTGTTGGATTTTCATGATGTGACAGGTCATCCATGATAGATTTGGAATTGTCGAGGGATTGATGACCACTGTGCATTCTATCACTGGTATTGATTCAATGAAACCTTTAAAGTCCAAAATTGTTTCAACTTTGGGCTTTTCCTCATTTTATCAAGAGTCGGTGAGTGATATGAGCTCTTCTTTTTTGTCAGCCACTCAAAAGACTGTTGATGGACCATCTAGCAAGGATTGGAGGGGTGGACGAGCAGCAAGCTTTAACATCATTCCCAGCAGCACTGGTGCTGCAAAGGTATTTCCTGTAACATATTTTACTGTGCTATATTATGCCACAGTGCACATTTTCTCAAATGTGTCTGCATAAGCACTTATATATGCAGGTCACTTTGTCAATCTATGTTCATATCATGTGATTATTTTATGGTTGAGACAGGCCTGATAAAAGAATATTGCATTTTCCTGTTTGTCACTCTAGCTTTTATAGTTGGGGTAGTTTTAGCTTGCTACTCGGCTTTAGTGTCATTTGTTAAACTATATGCTTGGTTAGCTTTTTTTACATAGTTTATTTTCAGAGATATATTCACCATTGCTTTGCTACATTCATGGCTTTGGTACTCTGTCCATGATATTTTCTCTGTTGACATTTTTTTTTTTCTGTTTTGACTTTCCTTCTTTGTTTTGAATGATTATTAATGACTTATATTTGTGCATATAGCATGTAAAGAACTATAAGTTTGTCTAATGATAAGTGATAAGTTATATACTAAAGGATTGTTCATTCGTTGGTCTTTGTGGTGTAATTTATTAGTATATTTTCAAGTTATTAAACCTGATTACTAAACACAAGCTTAGTCTTATACATTATCTTCATGTACTTTGAGAGATCATCAATAATGATGTGTTTACTCAAGAAATAACTTCTTTCGATTATTATATAATTTTCCTTCTTTGACGGAACTGAAGATAACCCAAACAAATATTTTATTTTTCTTCATTTGCACTAAATGCCAATATAATTTAATCTTTTGAATACGTGAACGCTATAATGCTTATGTATCATTTCTATCAGCTTTCTCTACTTAAATTTGTGTGATTAGTTGATTTTCTCATCATGCATTTGTTTTGTGAGTAGATTTTTAATTATTTCATTTACTGTGTTACAGGCTGTAGGTAAAGTGCTCCCTGCTTTGAACGGGAAATTAACTGGTATGGCCTTCCGCGTTCCAACGGTGGATGTTTCTGTTGTGGATCTCACCGTCAGGCTTGAGAAAGCTGCTTCTTATGAGCAGATTAAGGTTGCCATTAAGTAAGTAGATTAAAAGTTCTTGGATTATGTGATCTCTCAGTACTAGAAAGTTGTAGCTAAGTTGCTGAAACTATGATTGCTTGCTGTAGTTATGCACACAGAGTAGGTTCAGTAGGTTTAGCTTGAATATAATGCCATTAATTTTTCACATGTAAGCCTCTGAAACTTGTGATTTACAGAACTGACTTCTTATTCCTTCCCCACCAATCCCAATGATTTAATTATAAAAGGTCTAAAATGCGACTTGCCAAGCATCCTTCTAATTATCTTTGCCATGGTATTGGGTCACTGGTGGCTGCTAGAGGTGAATACACGGTTGTATTCACATTAACTAAGTGGTTTAGAGGGGGCATACTAGCTAATTATACAGGGGTTTGTACTAAACTGGATTTAAAGGGCATATATGCAAAAGATTTGAGTGAAGATTGCAATGATTCTTTTACTTCTTGATGATGGAAGCATAATGTGGCAAATCACATTGCAGTTTGAGAAGTTTTTTTGGTTTTTGATCATGCTCTGCTTTTTTAGTCTCGTTGTTCTAAGTTTGGCTTTGTGCCACATTTTATGAAATTGTATTCAAAGCACATGCTAAGTGCTTATCAGTGGGTCATTGCATGGAGCTGGTCAATATGCCACATAGTGTATATGTGATGTTAGGCTGTATTTGCTGGCACATGTCTTGCTTATATTAAATACTTGGAAATACATAATTAAGCACAAACACAACATACATTAGAAAAATAAGTAGATAAATGCATGCTATGGCCATATCACAAACAAATGGAATGATATTTATACTCTTTAAGAATTTAAATGATAAGTGTAAGAAACAAACATTTAAATTCTATTTGATTGTAGTTATATGCCCATCTGCCGTGATTTAGAATCTTAGATAATGTATCTAATTTAATTATAGAACTATTAACATTGAGAAAAAGATACAAACCTACATACAGTTGCAACTTATGTTGATAGGTTGAGGCCAATATAGATGCACACGGCTGCATATGTAATTGCATACACTGCATATCATAGGCCTTGAGCAATGCTTTCATATGTGGACACCTATGAACATTATACTGCATGGCAGCGACATAGATTGCTTTATGAGAATGTTTCTCTTGTTTACAATTTTGAATTGTTGTACCACAGGGAAGAGTCTGAGGGGAAACTCAAGGGAATCTTGGGTTATGTAGAAGAGGACTTGGTCTCCACTGACTTTGTGGGTGATAGCAGGTACCATGTTGAAACTTTCCATTGAAAATAGACAGTCAGTGTTTGATATCCTGATGTGTCAGCACACAATTACTAAATATCAAATTGAGAATGCTAGTTAATTTTTACTTTGATTGCTCGTTTTAGGTCAAGCATTTTTGATGCCAAGGCTGGAATTGCTTTAAATGAGAATTTTGTTAAGGTTGTGGCGTGGTATGACAATGAATGGGGCTACAGGTAATTCATCTTTTGTTCAAGACAACAGTGATTAGAGATTATGAGTTTAGCTTGTCAAGTTTCTCCTCCTTTAATTATGTGAATTTTTCTTCTTTTGCAGCTCTCGTGTTGTTGACCTGATCCGTCATATGGCTTGCACTAAGTAAATTATGGCTTGTTGCTGTTTGTATCCTTCCTTTGCTACTTGTAGCTGATGGTGAATAAATGTTTCATGAAAGGCGTCGACTTTCCTATTATCTTTCCACTTTGTTGGGAATCAGATACCATCATTATATGTAAGATGATAATTATTCAGCTGCATATGAATATGAAAGAGCTTTGTTTTGTGCAACAAGTCATTAAAATAATCATAATTAATATTGTCATTTTCATGGTTTCTAAATTCCTCTATAAACTTTCTGCACTCCCACGTTGCATTTCCGGATGTCGCATCTGTCTATGATGTCTATAAAGAGCAACTACGAGTCTGTATCTCTAGTCATGCTGCATCTGTCTTTCCATTTTCTATCCTTTTATGTGGTTATTGCAGTAACAGTCTTTTTTTGAAGCATTTATGAATACAGTGGAAAAGCTGCTGTCAACATATGAACATACTACGATCTCTTGGGGCACTCGAACATCATCCAGATGTGGCATTGTCTGTATTAACTTTACATACATTTTGGCACTTTGTATCTGATTGCTTGCTGGATTATATCATCTGGGCATTGAGGCTTTTGTTTCCGACCTAACATCATGTCACTGCAGAATCGGTAACAAGTCGATCCAGGCTTTTCTTTTCATTATCTGGATTGGGTTCTTTATTGCTAGAAGTTCCAAACTGGAACACGACCTTCACTATTTATTGTCTTGTATTAGGAAGACGATGTATAGGTGGAGTTTGACATGGGAGACGAGGAGGAAAAAGGTAATCTAATTCTTTTAACGACAAAATAGATCAATTTGTTTGTTGGATTAGAATTAATTCACCTTTTTGGTACATGTACCGTCTAATCGTACTGTTTCACCCCTGTTTTCCCAAGTAGGAGTTGACTACTTGTGTCTAGTCAAACTAATACTGCAGCGTTCATGCTTGACCACCAATTGGATGGATGATGTGCGGCTATGCCGGACGAGTTTCTGAACCGTTTGGGTTTAACATCCGGCCCACTTATTCGAGACCGATCCCGGCCCACGCGCGGAACCTTTCACATGAACTCCCTTTGTATTGACCTGAACCACACCTGATCGATTGTCAAGTCGGCCCGAGCCAATTGCCGAGAAAGCGTCGCTGGTAGATTAATCGGGTCGACGTCGGTCAAGTGGAACAAACGTTTCCTTTTAGTGATCGGCGCTTTCCGCCGCCGCTCGCATCGAAGCAGCTTCCCGCAGTACTATAATAAACAAGTTCCCCCCCTCCATGCTCGTTCCCTCTTTTCGCCCCCATCTCCAGTGGCGGCTCGGGGAAACCCTTGTTGGGGCGGCGCTTCAGGTCAGTAATCTCAGCGGTCCCCTCTACATTCTGTCTACTTTCCCGAGTTCTACATCGGTTCCATCTCAATTGGGCCTTTCGCCGCGCTCTCCACGCTTCCAACCAGTTGATTCTTGTAGGAGTTTGGTGGGATGATTGATTCGGCTCGAATCTAAATTTATTCCCCTTATTGTTTGATTTTATGAGATTTATCGGGGGTTTTCGAGTCTGCCTCGCTTGGTGAGTTCTAGGGTTTCGTCCCGCTAGATTTATCCCCTTTCTCGATTTCTAGGGTTTCTTTTGGTAAAAAACAAGATTTGTAACATGGCTGCCGGTCGATATGGTGGGTATCGGGATCACGAGTTCCGGGACCGTGAAGCGGATGTAGAGAACTCTAGCAGGAGGGATTATTACCAGGGTCGTGTCCGTGAAGGGGGTCGCGATAGGGACCGTGGCCGGAGTGATCGGGACGTGCGTGATAGGGTTAGTGCTAGCCAAAGAGACATCACGGAAACGAAATCGGTGAATGGCTCCTACCGCTCCCCCATGTCTAGCAATTCGAGTGGTGGAAGCGGGCATATTCAGAAAATGAGCCACCTCTCTGAGAGAGATGTCGACCGTGAGACCGGGGAGTTGTCCAGTGGGAGCGGATCAGATGATGCTGAAGCGCCTGTTTCAAAGATCAGGGAGAATGGGATCCAGAATCAGGAGATTGATGACGTTTCTATGCCTGTTAGGAAAAGGAAATTCTCTCCAATCATTTGGGATAGGGATGACAATAAGAAATCCAGTGTTTCTACTCCCAGGAGTAAGATCAGCAAGGTTGAAGATGTTACACTGCCTCCACCACCTCCATTGCCTCAGGGTTTTGTACCACCACAGGTTGTTGAACCATCTCTTGGGAATGAGTTGCCTCTAGATTCAAATGTCTCTGTAGATTTACATCAGGAACAGTCAGAAAATAACAATCAGGAGGCCACGTTGGTAGATGAGTATTACGAGGAACCTGCACCGGCTCGGAGTATTTCCTTCTCCAGATGGGCTGATGGAAACAGTGCTCTCGATGATGAAGAAGATGAACTCAAGGAGGATGATGCACAGAAAAGGAAAAAGACTAATCCTTTGTCCAACACTGCAGGGCAACAACTGTTGAAGAAGTCACCGACTCCTGAGCTAGGTGAGGTTATTGTGAGACAAAATTCCAGTGGGGCTTTGTCTAAGCTCTTTGATTCAGAGGGAGAGCATGCAGATCGTGATCAGGAGGTTGAGGTGGATGGGAGTGATTATATGGATGTTGACAGGGATGAGTCTAATGCAGAGACAAGTGATCAACTTTCTGATACCGACTTTGATGCTGAAGATCATAGGTCTAAGACACCTGAAGCAGCACAGACGCCCCAAAGGAGTATAAACATGCTGCAAGGTTGTAGGAGTGTTGATGAGTTCGAGAGGCTGAATAAAATAGATGAAGGCACCTATGGTGTTGTGTACCGTGCAAAGGATAAAAAGACAGGGGAGATTGTAGCATTGAAAAAGGTTAAAATGGAGAAGGAGAGGGAGGGTTTTCCACTGACGTCACTTAGAGAGATAAACATTTTATTGTCTTTTCATCATCCTTCAATTGTCGATGTTAAGGAAGTTGTAGTTGGTAGCAGCCTGGATAGTATATTCATGGCAATGGAATACATGGAGCATGATCTAAAAGGGCTGATGGAGACTATGAAGCAGCCATTTAGTCAGAGTGAGGTTAAATGCTTGATGTTGCAGCTGTTTTCAGGTGTCAAATACCTTCATGACAACTGGGTACTCCATAGGTACTTTCAGAATTTTTAGCTGTAACGTGTATTGCTCTGTTATCTTTGTCTCCATAGTTTGCTTATTCGAATGACTTTCCCTTCCACTAGGGATTTAAAGACATCAAATCTTCTTTTAAATAATCGTGGAGAGTTGAAGATATGTGATTTTGGCTTGTCTCGTCAATATGGCAGCCCATTGAAGCCTTACACTCACTTGGTGGTGACATTGTGGTACAGGTATGTTACACTCTTATGTACTCTACTTCTGTAAATTCTTTTTATTTTGCTTCTGCTGCTTTTCATGAGGATGGTGGTGAGTGTATGATTTTGTAATATCTATTGTTATGTATCTTGATGGCACAATCAATTGCAATGCTTCAAAGCTAGTTAGCCTCATTCTTTAGCATTCTTGCTCTTGTTATTATAGGGCACCAGAGCTTCTGTTAGGAGCTAAGGAGTATTCAACTGCAATTGACATGTGGTCCTTAGGATGCATAATGGCTGAACTTTTAGCAAAAGAACCATTATTCAGTGGAAAGACTGAGTTTGATCAACTTGACAAGGTTTTTTCCCCTTATAATATAGCTTCATCTAGTTATTATTTATTACCCTTTGCCTCTTTTTGTTCATATCCCCTAATTCAACCAGCATTGTTACAGATATTCAGGACACTCGGTACCCCGAACGAGAAGATATGGCCTGGATTTGCTAAATTACCTGGGGTTAAAGTTAATTTTGTCAAGCAGCCGTAAGTCAAATATTTATTCATCTAACTTTTTTTGGTAGTTGCATGCAATTATAAGCTTTGGTAGCTTTATTGTCATTCTTATTAACACCACCCTTTTCCAGGCCTCGAGCTATGGATGATCTTGCTTAAGCTTTATGGCTTGCTTTGGTGGCACTAGCAGTTAGGTGATGCGTTTTTAATGTTTTGTCATTTAGCAAATTGCTTCCTTTTTCTTGCAGGTATAATAAGCTACGGGAAAAGTTTCCTCCCACATCATTTTCTGGACGTCCAACCCTGTCTGAAGCCGGTTTTGACTTATTAAACAAACTTCTTACATATGACCCTGAAAAGGTAATTTTGATTGAATGAATTAATTTTCTCATTGAAGTTGGTTCTTATGTTGTCTTCCTTTGATTGACTAATGTTTGCCACTTATCGTGAATGCAGCGAATAACAGCGGAAGCTGCACTTAATCATCACTGGTTCTGTGAGGTTCCATTGCCAAAGTCGAAGGAATTTATGCCTACTTTTCCTGCTCAACATGCTCAGGACAGGTGCCTAAAGTTATTGAATTAAAGAACTTCTGCTGAACGTAGACTTCCTTGGATTCTGTTATATGTGACTGATGATTTTTGTCTCGTTTAATATTCAGGCGCCTACGAAGGATAATGAAGAGTCCTGATCCACTTGCAGAGCAACGGAAGAAGGAATTGCAACAAGGGGAACTAGGTCTTTCTAGTCTGTTTGGTTAGAGGACAGGTACAGAGCTTCGCTGTGGTCACGATTGTGAGTGCTGCCTGGCACTTGTAGACAGAAATTCATATTCACTAATATCTTAGGTGAGATATTTTGCTGGTGACATTGTGCAACTTCATTGGTATCGAGCAACGATTGATAATATTGTTTAGCAGGCACCACTGATGGTGTGGATGACAATGAAGGATATTATCTTCCCCTTCTCCACCAAAACACCATGTACTTCAGGCATTTTCTTTTTTTACTTCAGCAGCAGTTAATCGTTTAAGGTGTGGGATATCAAATTTTATCTTGGCACTATCAATTTCCTCTCAGACTTGTATATGTAACATATTTCTTAATGGTGAAAGACTGGATTTAATACCAAATATTAATTGATACGTTAATACATTATTTTGATCGTTCATACTGTGTTTGCAAGAATCGACTGGTTGATGCGGTTGGATATTGTTGCTTCCAGAGCTGGAGAAAGTGATCAATAACTTATTAGTAAAAGGTAATTTGTTGCATGAATCTTTAAGACCGGGAGGATAATGAATTTTGCATGCTATATTTGTTAACATAATCATGAATGTTAGTGAAATAAAAGTTTTTTATGCATATTCTTATGATCTGAAACTTATACTACCTATAGGCTTGTGTAGTTTTACAATTGGCAAAATTTTATAGCTTGCTGCCCTGATGCCCCTGGCTGTAACGTTTGACTTGTTGCAGGGAGCAACCTACATCTTCACTGAACAATTCTTGTAATATTATACTTTTAAGATCATGCATGCTTCAAGAGCTACTTCTGAAGATGTTTTATTTGTATGATTTTGTACCTGCCTGCTAGCTCTACATTGAGGGACAGCACATGGTCATGTATTACATATTTACATATTCAGTGGGGCTTTTATTCTCCTGAAAATTCATAAATTGAGTGATTAATATATAGAAAAATGTTTAGGAGTTCTACCAAATGCTAGTGAATTGATGGATGACAAGTCAACACATGGTTTGGGTGCCAAATAGTGTGAGTTGCAGTAGAGGATTCGCAAATAATTGAGTTGAAATGTGGAAAAAAATGCATTCTTGAAACTAGTGAGTTCACATTGAATGATAACTAGACTTTTGTTACAGGAAGAATGCTTTAAACAAAATCTGTCACTACATGGGCAGTGTTTGATGATATGTGATGTATATATATATGTATACATGTGTTTGTGTGTATATATATTTATGTATGCATGTCTTTAACTATGGTGGTTAAACTGTGCCTCTCAGCTCTCCACCTATCTTTGCATACTGATATTGCTTGCATGAAATAGTTACTTCATGGAGAAATGTTTGGATTGGCCTCCATTTTCAAATTTGAACAATTGTTAAGCGTAATGGATTTCTTCGTTTGTGCTTTGCATGCTTTTGTTTGAGACCGTCTATAAAATACTAAATATGAACTTTGACTACCATGACATGAACTTTATTGAGTCTTCTGAAGCTCAACAGCTGTATTTTTAATGTGTCCTAGTGTCATTATGTCGGCTGTCCATCTTGATCATATTGTTTAAGTTGGTTGTCTGCACTGCTTGTTAGCTATAGCTCTCCAATAGTTCATCTTCCTAGATGGCATGCAATTTTAGTTTACTATATTTATTGTTATGTCAAACTTGATTTTGGTGAAATGCATTCATGTGGCTTTCATCATGCTATCCTTGTTTCTTATGTTAACCTGTGTTGATCATTGGTTGACGATTTTATTGTGTTGGAATGACACTGCAGTGTCTAAATAAAGCAATTATGTCAAGAGTTGCAATTGACAGAAAGCTTCTTTGAAAATCACAGAAGTTTAGTATCTTATCTTCATTCTTCCGGATTTAGCATATTGGTTTCAATGGAGGTACTGGTCACCTCGTATGCATAATAAATCAAACCTTGGTATCACATCCATGCATATCTAAATTGTGCTTTGTTTCATTCTATGAGAAATTGTTTTTACTAGATTTGTTAATTAATTTTTATTCTTCTATGATCTGAGTTCTTTTTTCTTACTGATAATATTCTTTATTGTGTTTCTATACTAGATGATTTGTACTATCTCAGTAGATTATTTCTTGTTTGGAATGTGGTGGTTCTTGCTTAAAACATTGTTTTTTACATCTGAGATGGTCTAACAATCTCAAGCTTTGGGAAAATTATTAGATGATGTTAACATAAGCTTTTGATAGTAATGCATTGTGAGTTCTAAAGCTTTGTGGTCAGAGTTTTAAGATAGCACATTTTTCCCAAATATAAGGTCTATGTTTTATAGACAAATGATTTAACCTTGCTAGGTTGGAAAAGATACTCTGCTATACTTTTCTTGAATATTATGCTATACTGAAAAATATATAAATCATCCTGAGGACTTTGATATAAAGAAAATTTGGATGGACGTAAAATAGTGATGAGTAAGCCGGGTAGCCGCAACCTCAGCCTTCCAATTTTTGAAGACTGATATTTCTCTTCTGAATTAGCTCAGGCTGCTATCAGTGCCACACAATCATTCTTTGTTCAGAACATGATGGTCCACATTCAATTTAACTTGAAGCTCTTGTGTTTCAAGTAGTTTCCATTTATTATTTTATCTTGTATTATCTATTCTATAGCAAATTGACTATTTACTGATGAAATTTTGTTGTACAAAGGTTATCTTTGGATTCGTATGAATCCACTATGAGTTGGATTAAATTATTAATCATATCATTTTAAAAACAGATTTATGAAAAATAAGTTGAAATTAGCATGCATACAAAATAATTCAGTTCATATTAGAATGTTATATGTACAAGTTCGGATCGGTATATACCGCCTGTACCGAGTGGTACATATTGAAATTGAAAACCCTGGTAATAAGTATAAATATAAGTTGTTTATGAAAATAGAAAATTTAAGTGACCCCTACTCTTCTGATGGATTTGATATTCAATCTGAGCTGTTTGAATGGATTCAGATAAATGACTAACTTTTATTAGTTGTTTAGGTCTCCTAAACTAACTCTCAATCTGTAAGATTAATCTCTGGAACTCAACTAAAATTTCAAATAAAATAGAAAAACTAGACATGTACAACTTATACCTTTATTGGACACAATAAAAAAACATGCCTGATCCTAAACTAAACTCAAGACTGTATAAAGTGTTTCATTGTGAGTTAGAAGGTGCATTTTGGGCTGAAACAAATTTGGGAGATTCTTTATTAGATTCTGTCTTGCAGACATTTTATGAAGCCCTTAATTCTTACACATGGTGTAGCTTTTAAATCGTGAAGTCTACTGCCTAAGTAAATCATCATTCAATTGGATATATCGGGAGAAATCTCAACAGTCAATCCATTTACCTATTTTTGGTCTGGTAATAGGACATTCTAAATACTTTATGATGTAATTTAATTTTTAAGCATAGGACATCATGAAATCGACTTGAGGACAGGTCTTGGTATGAACTCAAATTTTTGGCCTTTGCTTAATATTTGTAATATGGTTTGAATACATCTGTGCTGGAAGCTTTTTCTTGTTTCCATCTGTAAGCTGCACCTGTTGGTTCCTGATCTATAAACCATTAGTAACTAATAATAACATATCTTTTAATGTAGTTCGAATTATTTTTAATATAACTTAGTGGTAGGATCATGAAAAAGATAGAAACTGGGTCTTGAGGGTAATCTGTGGTTTCATTTTTAGGCTTTCGAGTAAAGGTAGGCTTCAATCATTTGGAAAGAGACTTCATCATACTCTTGTGCAAAAAAAATTAGAGGGATAAATTTTTATTGACCCTTATGCGAGGATAACACAAGGGGGAGACTGTTTGGATTGGACATGTCCGGATGAGACTCATGGACACATTGTCTTGACTAGGTGAATCAATTAGGATATCTATCACAATAGCTAGATGAATGCCTAATGGAGGCCATGGTCCTTTGTGAAGTCTCACTGAGTTTGCTTTGTGATGTAACCTCTATGTTCTTATCGTTTAAAGAAGTCGTGTAACATGTTACATTTTCACCAAACTTTATACAATTACAAGTCTGTTGCAGTAGGACAGTCAATATCTTTATACAATCCGACTCTTGATTGGAATTGTAATTGATGCAAACATTATTAATATGCACCTGTTCTTTCTAAATGCTGAGACTTAACCATCTATAGAGTTATGTGCCTGTTATATCAGCAACTATATTAAATACCTTTGGCCTTGAGTCTTGCTTTGCTTGAATTTTGCCATTTATCTCATCAATAACATATTGCACAACGAATTACCCTCTTCATTCTTAAACCAACTTGTCTATCATCCATCTCATATATAAATTAGATGCAATAAGTAATTTTACTCAGTATTTGACATTATTATCTTGTTTAGTGCCTCTCCTTTATTCAAGTCGTGCTTTCCTGCGGATATGAAGCTGCTTTTTTATGCATGATTTATTAGTTAGGGCAGTTCATTGGTTGCCTTCAGAGTGGATCGAGGGTGATGGACGGTCAACTCATTTTTATAATCGAAGCATGGCCTCTCATTTTGACTCCAATTTTTACTTTGGCAATTGAACCTGAGTCATTTGTCTAAGCAGTGTCTTGCCTGAGGCAAGACTCACCCTTGATCAGGTACTTGTTTCTTTTCCTTTTTATGCATTGAAATGCCATTCTCTGCTAGTCTTGGGTTAGTTACAGTTTCTTTTATTTCCAATCAATTGTTTCCCTTGAAAAGATAGGTAATGCCAAGCCAGTTATTATCTGTGAGGGCTTGGGATACCTTAGCATCTTAGGCTTTGCATAAATGGGGCGAGAAGTTTAGAGATACTGAAGACTGTTTGTTAAGAGGTCATTTAGTATTTTGCTGGCGTGTGCCTTGATGTGTATGTTTTATACATATGCGTATTAAGGATCTCTAGAGGTCTCTTTCTCATTGAAATGTTCTAACAAATATATACCCAAGACTTGGTCAGTCAATGGCACTTATAGTGTAGCTGGCTTTATGGTTTCTCTGCCGAGAACTCAGCTCTCATTTAGGTTTGTTAGTATTTTGAAGTCCATGAATGTTTCTGTCCATGTTATATATACATACTTCTAGGATCTGATATTGATCAATTTTTATTTCTGGTTATACTTAATTCTCTAGCTTAATGTATCTGATCCTAACTTAATTCTCTAGCTTCATGCTCTATTTCCATTCATTACTGCTGACTAGTTCCATGCAGTTGCTTGTTTGGCCACCCCCTGTCTATATCCAAAAGAGAAGGTAGCAGCTTGCCCTGTTTGTCACCACTATTAACTGCTCTCCTTATATATATGAATGTCATTACAAAATCCATGCATTATAGAGTTAATATTTGATGTGATAGGAGCATCTAGTGTCAAATGATCATACAAGAATAAGGAGAGGCGGCTTGGGTTTGTTCTAATTAAATAGTTGCGCAGGATTGTTCTGAAAAGTTTTCTTAAGGTAAATTCTTGCTTGTTCTCAAGAAGTAAAATAAAGCTGGTTGGTTTGGAGACACTCCATAGTTGATCTCGGAATCTATTCTCCAACTCTGGTAGTTCGTGTTAGGGATTGATTGATTTTAAAGTATTTTATGTGTTGGAAATAATTAAACTAAAACATTTCCAAAACACAAAGCTCTTTCGTTTTTAGAGTTGGATGCTATCTAAAGTAATGTTATCAATAGATAGTGTCCCAGTTGTACTTACTTCAGTCTCTCTCTAAGAGCACAATACCTCGGCAGAAGTCCCATGGCAAGTGTCTATCTTTAGTTGTTACTACCACAAAAAAAAAAAGGTATGGTTGCAGGTGAGAAATCTTAGTTGTGTTACATGGGGATTCGTCAGGCTCAGTCTCGACTCTCTGCTGTCTCAAGTCACCCCTTCGGTGCTCCAATAGGAGGTGTTCGTGTCGCCCACCTCCTCAGCCCTCCATTTGTGCCAACTCAGGTCGTGCGTGCCTCAAGTCAGTTCCAACGGCTTTTATCTGCATCAATCAACTCCCTCTTACATATCCCCAAGCTCGTCTCCGGTTGCCACCCCGCCCCGCATCTCAGCGATGGCTTCGTCGTCTTCCCTTCTCGCTTCACCGACGGCTGCCCGACAGGTCCCCGCTGCCGCCACAGTTTCCTTCCCTCTCCCTCCGAAGTCCAGTCTAATCTCTGCCAAGGTTCGCGTACTCTCATTATTTATTCCTTTTTCTTCTAGATTTATCCTCTTCTTACTTTCTGGCTCACGCGTCCTCGTATAACTATCCTTCGATTTATGCTTCCAACGACGAGGGTTTTTTTTTGACCGGTTGCTTCATCTTTTAGTTTGTGGTGAATGATCGGAATTATTGTTTACTAGTCGATGCATCGGCTTATTTCGTCAAATCTTGGGAGTTGCAGATGGAAAAATATGATTTCGTTCGCAGCACCCAAATTCTCAAATGTTGCATATATTTGATCTATGGAGCCGAGCGATTTTGGATTCGATTGGATATTCTTTTCCTAATTTTGGAGCCTATGCTGGGAATCGTTCTTTTCTTGGCGGTGGAGAAGTGTTTTCTCTCTCCTCCGTCTCATGGAGGAGAGATTAGGTTTTTGCAGAGATCGTCGTGTTATTACCAAAGGCCCAATCGAAGGAGGCACAGTCTCGGACTAATCCTTTCCCTCATGCCAAAGGTTGTTGGAGGATCCGCTAATGACGCTGCATCTTTTGAGGCCAAGGCGAAACAACCAGCATCCCGAGAGAGGGATACGGAGGCAGGAAAGATGTCGCCGCCATGATATCCGCCATCAGAGGAGGCAGGCAGTAACCGAGTTGATGACTCGAGTTGCTGCAAGCCTCGTAAAGTGAGAAAGCCCTAAAATCCTTTGCCTGTTTCATCTCTTCCCTCATCTAATTGGTATGGCATCAACAAAGATTTGAATATTTTCCACATCTTTGATGGTCCAGGCTTGTTGATTCCAAAGACATTGCCGGAGGCTTTGCCTCGGCCTCCGGCACCGAATATGGTTGTTATGATGCATGTCTCCACGAGCTGCACCTGTCCTTGCATCACCTGCTGCTGCTGCTGCTGCTGCTTCATCAACAGCACCTACGACGCCTGCATCTGCCCTAAAGACCTCCAAGTCATCACATCCTTCTCTCAAGAGTCCTATGGCTTGCCCCCCTTTTGTTAACTTTCATGGTATGTATGTACATGCATCGAATATTCAATTCATCCTAACATGCAAAAAAAAATCAACTATTTTAAATCCAAGCAATCGACATTACATAAATATCACAAACTTTTTACTAGGTGATAATAATGTCACTAATGATCATCAATTCCAGGAGAAGTTGATCTGTCTTCACCTGTTTCTCGAATGAATAATAATACTCTTTGAAAACCAAACGCCCCTTCAAAATGCTCCACTACTCTGCCATGTTTGGCTCGCTTGATAAGTACCTCTCGAGTTCAGGGATATTGCATCGAGATATGATGTTTGGTAAAAAAATTTCAATGCTTAAATTAACAATTGAGATAGCAAATATCTCACATGAATGAAGCTAATTAAAAGAAGGTTGAGAAAAATATATATTTGAAATTGTTGGCTAGTCTAGGAAAGACTTGAGCTAATTAGATATTACCTATTGTAGTTAGTTACCTTTAATGTTTTGATCCTTGTATTTTTAAAAAATTACATTGACATCGCTATAATTACGAAAGTAAAACATCTGGATTCATTTATCCTAATGACGTCAGTTTTATCGATGAGAATACGAAAATAAAAGGTAAAAAGATAATTTTAACGTTGAGTGACGGGCAACGTTTGTGGTGGCAGACAATGATGTCGTTGGCGTCGATGTCGACGCAGTTGCTCGACCACCTTCGTCGATGATAAGATCTCATTGTGACATCACCCGCCTCCATGAGGAGCGCACTATTAATCTCATCGTGGTTCGTCCCGTGCTGCTCTATATTTATGTTGACGTCAACACAATTGCTTGGTCGCCTCCATCGAATAGCAATTGCGTTAGTATTGACGCAGATGGTCGTGGCTGTCGTGGCATTTATGACGAAGATGGTGGTCGCCTCGTCGTTAACCCGATGGGCGGATTCCAACCTCAATCTGAAGCTGGGGTCGTCGGAGCTCCTACCGTTCCCCCCATTGCCACCCGCCTTGTGACGCTCTACATCTGCGTCAACACTGACATAGTTGCCAAGCGATAACTACATCAACGCAAATGGTGGTAGTTGCCGCAACTTCTATAACGAAGATGGTGGTTGCATCGTCATTGGGCGGGTCCTAACCTCGACTTGAAGCTTGGGTCATCGGAGCTCCTAACGCTCCCCCCAACTATCACCCGCCTGATGTTGCTTTGCATCAATGTCGACCCAAATGCAGAGCGACGTAGGGCAAGCGACAACGAGAGGAGCGACAAGAACTCTTGTGACCGAAGCTTTGGGTTGAGACTAGGATTCGCCCAATGGGTTAGCAACGAGACGACGACCATCTTCACCGTGGACGCTAGCAACCACCACCATCGCCAACTGCATCAGCTAACTATATGAACATCGTTAGGGTAAATTGATCTAGATGTTTCACTTTCATAATTATAGTAATACCAATGTAACTTTTTAAAGTATAAAACTGGGATGCTAAAAATAACTAACTATAAAGAATAATATATACTTAGCCCTAAAGACTATGATAGGTCGTTGCACTGTTTTACACTCAAATTCGGCTGTTTACCGAAGAAAAAAACACATTTGAGGAATCATCATCAAGTATTGACATGAAATATTTTCTTGGATATCATGCTAATTGGACGCTTAGATGGTGCGACATCATCAACATCGTGACTGCCTATGCTGGCGTCAATGATGCCACATCATCATCATGTTAATTGGGCCCTCATGACCATCAGATGACACACGGGGAGCCTAAATTGATCGTCAAATCTATTCATATCACAAAGCAATACTTAAACGATCATTTAGTGGCAGACATCGTTGAATCGGAGGACAAGCTACAAAATTCGAGTTCATGACTAGTTCAAGAGTTGAAGGAGACAAGACTTTTGTCAAATCATGTGCACATAAAAAACAACAAAAGATCATAATATGGCAGTTGAATGTCCATAAAAATAACAATGTATCCAACCCAAATTCTTAATTTCTTAGCTGCTCATGAATGTCCATACAAATAATTTTCTTGAGATGCTTGAGCACTTCATCATGCACTGACTGATATGTAAGTTGGCATTCATCTCATAAAATAGGAGATAGAAATTTAGTAAGTAAAGAGCTTAAACTAAAACTGATGTATAATTGCTGTTTCAAACAAGTTGCGAGAAAAGGAAGAAACCATCTATTGCACATATCTGCAAATATTGATTAACTTCTTTCTTTTATCTTAGTGTGATCCATGTCATTTAGAACAAAATCAACCATGAGAGTAAAAACTAAATAAAAAGCACCTTCTAGCAATAAAGCAGATTTATTTTGTCAAGTAAAATGACATTTAAATGACCTGCGGAAATAACTGCATAAAGCAAAGCGGAAAAGGAGAATAAGATAAATAGCATCAGAAGAGTATAAGTATCCACCTTACAGTCTATCAGGATCCAGCAACCTTCCAGAGATCGACCCATGCTTCCATGGTATCTGCTGCTTGTGCGTATACTGGATTCAGACTTGCTAGATTCTCCCTTGCCATCCTTGAAATTTCAATCACACAATCAGCTGCTGTGACTGCAGTCTTCGGGAACTTCACAGACTGGAAGAAGGGAACTACCTCCTCCATCAACTTCACCCCTTCCCATTCCTTCTTCAGACTATCCATAGCGTTGTCTGCGTCTGAACCGACACCTCTCCATACGTAAGGCAGCCCACTCTTCACACCACATCCCAAGTGGTCGCAAATCACTTTCGCACACATTCCTGACCATATATCCTCTATAGTTTCCCATCTTCGCTTCCCCTCCCCGTCTAACCGCAGTCCTGGAACCAATGCAGGCCCTAGCACCTCCCTGTTGAATCCAATATTTATTCCACTCAACGGCATCATTGCCCTGAGCGGAACAGTCATTACTGCATCTACATAACGAGTGTTCCGCTCATGTGGCTTGACAATCTGAGTTGGAGCATCATAGTCAGCTATGTTCAGCCACAAACCACATGATAACAGGCATTCAACACCATCACGCAAACTGAATGGGTACCCACGGACAAAATCCGCACCCTGACGATATGGATCATAGAGTGTATTGAAGAAGAACGGCGTGGCAGGTGTCTGGAGGTTGGATATGTGTTGTGCCACAGCATCAACTATGACACCAGAGTTGTCCCTAGCTGGAAGGCAGTCGTCATCAATTGAGATTATATATTTCTTTCGAGAAATGAGATACCCAAAGTAGCGGCATGAATGTCCAGAGAAGTTAATGGAAGCACCATTTAGAACTCTGTCCATGTCAGATTTAGTATACACCTGATGGTCGAACCCTGGGGGAATCTGAAGGTCCTCTTCCAAGTTAGGATCTTTTACAATAATAAGGTGGAAATTGGAAAAGAATGATCGCCATTCCTCCAGAAAAGTATTAAGGTTAGGACGGAGTGCAGCAACGACGATGTCTACTTCATTGTCCTCTAATTTCAGAGACATCTTACAAAAGCATAAATTATAACAACCAAAGTGGCTTGTTCTGATAGGAGGTAAAAAACAACAATGGAGCTTTACAATTTGCTGGAGTCTCCTGTCAAAGCAGAGGTTTATGTTAGAAAAGTTTCCTGACACTGCCTCAGGTCCATATCAAAAGTTAACTGGATATTACTCAGTGATCGAGAGGATGAGATGACTATTTACTATATGGTGACTGAACAAAACAAAAAAAGAATTTCCTTACTGCATTTGCATGAATAATTTCAAGAGTTTTCTGGACAGAATATTTTCTAGGCATTTAAAGCATATACAGGTTCACATCTCAAGGTAAGCTGAAAGGCAAAAAGAAGCCTGACCTACCAACTCTTACCTACTCTAAAGCAAAGATAATATTATGCTTAAAACATAAGAGTAAGATCCACTTGTAAAAATATCTGGGTACTATTAATGAGAAACTACTATACATAAAAGATGTTCAGATTATGATCTTGTCCTTTAAGAGTTAACATTATACATTATATTTCTTCCGATCAGCTATTATATCCTCTATGGTATACATGCAGCATGAAGCAACTTCATGTAATTAATTAATCAAACAGTGTTTCTACTTAAGAACTGTACTCAGGCAAAGGAGTATATCCATACTCTTGATACTTGTGCACATGAAAATTCAAATTAAATTGTAAAACATAACATGTGTGCATGTTTTACATGTAATAAGCCATCCAACCATATAAACCACAGAGGGCAATGACAGCCATCATGCTCCAGCTGCCATAATAGGCATAACCTCTATAATCTTCATGCCAAGAAATTAAACATACCAAACCCAAAAATAAACTAAATGACAAACCCAGCCACCTAGTTTATTCATGTAAACTGATATCCCATGGCATTGAGAGACCTATGTTACTATGTATAATCTCATTTCTAAACAAGTACAACTTAGATCAAACAAGATTTAATCTGTCAACTGATATATTGTATGAGTTGATTTCCTATTGTATAAAACTGTAATTATGTTGCTGTTATGCGAAATAATTTTAATATCTGAATCAAAATCAAATAACGATAGATCAAGATCGAGATTATGTACCTTTTGATGTCATTCAGAATACCTTTTTCTTGATCTGCAAATGTTCCGTCGTCCGATCTGAAGAAAGCAACGATACCAATATGAAAAGAGAACTAAACTCGTCTTCTCCTCTTTTCTAGGCCCACTATAAGCGATGAAATATGGACTAAGGAGAGATAAAAGTAGTTCTGTAATCTCTTCTCTATATTGTATTGTGTCCTTAAGAGGTGTCTATTTATAAGTAAAAGTAGAGGGTCTAGGATAAGTGATTAGGAGAGTCCCTCTTATCATGATTATCTCTTAAAGAATCCTACCATAAATGAACTTCCTTTCTATTGACTGATAAACATAATCAAAATTCAGTCAATTTATAATATATTTTATCCAATTAAACATAGTCACATAATCTAACATTCTTTCACTTGACTCATTAATTGGTAAGATATAAAATAATTCAAAATCATAAAAAATAAATTATCACATTAAGTCCGACTATCAATGCGAGTCAAAACGATCGTATGTAATCAATGTTATACTTCTTCTCTGTACCACAATATTATTAATCGTTACTAATACGATCCATAATAACCCATGAAAATTCAAGTGCATAATGGAAAACTCTATACTAAATTCAAATTCATAAATTATATGCATTATGGTCTTATGGAGACCTCATACTAAATTCAAGTGCATAAATTCCAAATTTGTAATATACTCCTTTTGGATTTTGTTTGCCCTAACTTACCTAATCCACAATCTTAGTCCAAATATTACACAACAATCTGCAAGCACAACTGCACTAAACGCACAGATCTGGTGACCTAATCCCCTTCTTGCATATTTGTCACACCCTTTTCAAGCAACCATTTATCAGATATTCCTACCTTTTTTCCCTCTCAAATCAAACATCATCATCAGTTACATTCGCAACTCTTTCCAAAACTGAGAACATCATTCATTAATTAGCTACTGATTCTTCAGAAACAGCATGAAATATAACGGCGGATTGCACGCACCAAATCCGAGGGAACAACTAAAGCCGCTCACAATTCTTTCCTTGGGCTACACAGTGTCGACAACGCCGACTACTGCTCCTTCGATGCCTTTGATACAGGAGAATCAGAAACTCCTCTCTAGCTAAGCACATCAAACTAAAGCGGACAAATCCAACAGGCGCACAATTGCAATTCAAGCAAATCATCGCAGCAATCGATTTGAAAGGTACTAAAGGAATCAAGGATGCGAACAACTACAAGAAAGAGTAAGAGTGACGGATTACCACGACGAGACCGACGACGATCAGATCGGCGACGCGACGGGCGAGAGGGGGATCAGCGCGAGAGGGGCGGCAGGGTGTCGGTCAAATGACGAGCGGAAGATGCATCCCACTATTCACGAGGTGTCTGCCACATCGAGAATTATGGAGTACGGGAAGCATCCGTCCCCCGTTCCTACCCGGAACAAGAAATGAGAGACGCATGGTGGGCCCCGTCATAGTATACGCTGGTTTCTCATCAGTTCACAGGGGTACGTCGACGGGTAGAAACTAGATATCAAGAATACCACTCCTCTTCGTGATCTTCTCGAGGGGACGGTCGGGATCTTCTAACCACTGTTATTTAAGATGATATGGATAATTCATTTTATTTTATTTAATTAACTATGGAAAAAGATACTATGTTAAGTCCATCTCAAATCATTAATGTGGTAACTATGACATGTTTCCATTATAAAGGAAGTGCTTCTGTGATCATCCTACCATGCAATTTGGATTATCACTATGATCTCCTATTCCATGGAAATAGGAATACTGTGCTAAAAATGTAAAT